GAGGAACTTCAATAGTGGTGTTACATCCCATTCTATAATAATCAAATGTTAGGTTTTAAACTGCAAGATAATGTTAGTAAAAGCTGTAATGTAATTTTCAGTTTTTGGAAATACTGCAAGGTTGAAATTCTATTATTCTCATTCTAGTCTTAGTTTTTGTTAAGAATGTACCAGATTATTCTTTGCCCAGGGATGGGATTATTTCATATTTAAAAATGAAATATTTTAGAATGTTTAAAGTAGTGGTATAAATCAGTATCGGTGAGATTTGCAATGGTAGCTTTATAATATCAGTGGTAAATTTTTATAAATCAATATCTGAGAGAGATTTATAGTGGTATTGATAGCTTTATATTATCAGTGGTAAATTTATGTAAATCAGTATCTGAGAGAGATTTATAGTGGTAGTGATAGCTTTATAATATCAGTGGTAAATTTATATAAATCAGTATCTGAGAGAGAAAGATTTATAGTGGTAGTGATAGCTTTATAATATCAGTGGTAAAGTTTTATAAATCAGTATCTGAGAGGTTTATAGTCGTAGTGATAGCTTATTATCAGTGGTGAATTTATATTAGAGAGAGAGATTTATAGTGATATTGATAGCTTTATAATATCAGTGGTAAATTTATATTAATCAGTATCTGAGAAAGATTTAAAGTGGTAGTGATAGCTTTATATTATCAGTGGTAAATCTATAAAAATCAGTAACTGAGAGAAATTTATAGTGTTAGCTTTATATTATCAGTGGTAAATTTATATAAATCAATATCTGAGAGAGAAAGATTTATAGTGGTAGTGATAGCTTTATATTATCAGTGGTAAATCTATAAATCAGTATCTGAGAGAGATTTATAGTGTTAGCTTTTTATTATCAGTGGTAAATCTATATAAATCAGTATCTGAGAGAGATTTATAGTGTTAGCTTTTTATTATCAGTGGTAAATCTATATAAATCAGTATCTGAGAGAGATTTATAGTGTTAGCTTTATATTATCAGTGGTAAATCTATATAAATCAGTATCTGAGAGAGATTTATAGTGTTAGCTTTTTATTATCAGTGGTAAATCTATATAAATCAGTATCTGAGAGAGATTTATAGTGTTAGCTTTATATTATCAGTGGTAAATCTATATAAATCAGTATCTGAGAGAGATTTATAGTGTTAGCTTTATATTATCAGTGGTATAGGTATATAGTGTCAGTAACCTTACAATCAGGGTTGTTGAGTTTAAAAATGAGGTAATCCTTTTATGTTTGATTGGTTTTTTATGATTTGTAAAAGATATATAAACAAAATAACTGTTTGTGTTGAGGGATATTGACTAGACAAATACAACCCCTTTTTGGCTTTAGGCCTTTGCACATATCAGCAGGCCTTGATTTGCTGGAAACAAATTTCACAGTAGTTCTTGAAGTGAAGCTTAAAACTTCTAGTTGTTGGCGAATTCTAAGAAGTTTTTCCAAATTTAAATTTGATGTATCAACAGAATAGAATTGATGACTCAACAAAAATTGGAACCAGATGAACTTGTAAAACAAGAATAAAAGCCTTTCAAAGTCTGCTGTGACTGATAATAGCAGATAAAAGGCAGATCTTTATGGTGTAGTAAATGGCATACTACTGAAAGTAATAGGTGTCCAGGGAATACAAAACATTATTTCGTCTCAATCCAATGATTCAATCAAACAGAAATTAGACTAATAATAACAAGTCTGTATTGTATGTGATGTTTTATTTATTAATGGATACAATCATTATTGAACTGTATCCTGGTTTACATGTGAAAAGAACTTTAGGATAGGATCTATATTATTGTCCCAAACAAAGGACTTTGTAGTGTTATTATATATAATTTACTATTTTTACAGCTTGAATGACCTAAAAAGTATTGATTAGGATATGTATATTTGATTGAGTTTTGCGCTGATTAATAGAACTTTAAATGGCTTTACAAAATAGTGAAAATCATTCATTGCTTGATAAAGACCAGAGAACACAAGTCGAAACATCGCTCAAATAGATTTAGTAATTGTAATCCATAAGAATTTTTTCATTATATCCAACACCATTACTAAATGCCATTCAAAGATCATGCAAATGAATTGTTGTTTTTCATCCTTCTTTTCTGCACCTTTCTTAACTACCTGGGTCACACCTGCATGCAAAAGGATTTTTTTAAGGGCAGCCAGGGAAAAATTTAATTTCCTATTTTGTTGTTTGTATTTGGACTGGCTCAATGTTAGCTTGTCAGACTTTCAGGTCTAACAAGAAAGAACCTGAAATTCTGAAGAAACTGTCTTGCACTACGCCAAGTTTCAAAGTCAATTCATGTTGTGTCCTATTTTCAAGATGGTGTAACGTGCATCCTAGTCTGTAACAGTTCTGAAAGCCTTGAAAGTGTTTATACTAAATTTATTAGTGCTGTATGAATAATTTATACAAAATAAACCATAACTTGTCTTGAGAAATTATGTCTTCCTGTCAGTTTAAAGGAAGTAGAGCCAGTAAAAAAACTTGATTGATCTACTTTGTGCATCTAAATTTAAAATAACTGTTGAAAGATGAGACATTCAGATTTTTAAGTTCTATTTTTGAGTGTTAAAGGTGTTCTTCCATCCTATATTTTTCTGAAGATAAAATCATCAGACCTTGAATTCTGAGTCTTGTTGTGGGTCCAATTGAAAGAAAGTGTAATAAATCCAATTTTTGGTTTAAAATTTACTTGGAGATCCTAACTTGCTGCTGGCACTGGACAGTTAGTTTTTGAATTGGCAGTTTACTTTCATATACAGGACTTGGAGCCAATGCATAGAACATGTAGATTTATGGCCAGAAAAACAAAGGATTTTCTTATGCCGATGTATTCACTTTTTTATGGAGGAATGATAATTTTCAAATTGAATGTACAGAAAATACATGTCAATGTGCACTCGGAAATACCTTTATTAGATTTTCAAGAAAACACATCTTCTTTGGAAAAAGTGACAGCTTATTTTATGTAAATTCTTTAAGTTTTAATTTAAGATGCTATTTTATTTCTGAAATTGTGTTAAGGCTATGTTTGATATCTAAACTTAGATTATTACAGAAGTAGACAAATTATTGTTGGAATCTGGACATGAATGGTTTATGTTAAGTAGAATGTAAACTACATATAGAAAATTTAACATATTGAAAAAAGTTTTACATGAAAACCTGTTATGTAAAATATGAGTCAAAACATGAATAATACAATTCTAGATGAAAGTTTATTGAATTTTTAGTATAAATGACATTGATTCTTTAAAGTACCCTGATCTTCTAATCATTTCACATACTATTTATAGGTGCACAATTATATTCTTGGCCATTAAAAAACCTTTGCAACAAACTCAAATTTTTGCGTACAATGAAATTTCTACGATTTAACATGGTCTTGGCCATCAAAAAACCTTTTCATCACTCAACTTTTTGCTTACAATGAGATTTCTATGATTGATCATTGCTGTTAAAAGTTGCAATTGTAATTGCTCAGTGCACTACCTATTGTACAGAATTGATTATGAGAAAAATTCTCCCAAATTTTTAAAATGTAGAGGTTGTAATTCAGACAGGAGTCTGCAGACTGTCTAGTTCCCCTGAAGCTGAAAATTCAATATTGAATGATATTAAACTAAAAAAAAATTTTTAGGTCAGAAAGTTGATTGTTGCCTCTACTTGATATAGGCTCCAAGTTTGAACATGTTTCAACATAATTTTTATTATGATATTTTCAGAAAGTTTTCCTTTAAATGAATAATAAGTTAGTCACTACCTATAGTATAGCTATTGTATGGTGGAATGTGTTTTTGTCATATTGATATCTTGAGTAAGTTGTAGAGTTGACAGTTCTAGTACAGACAACATGATGAATGCTAACTTTACTGACACTGTCATATTACTGACAGTTAGAAAGTGTGACAGACCTGAGATTATCATCCTATGATAATATAGAGGATACCAGTAATAATACATGTCAGTTATTGAGAAATTATGTAAAGTAATTCATGTGTGTTGTGTACGTGACTTTCTTGCTGTTCTATGGTGCCATTTTGTGATGGATTCATGTAGTTTATTTTTTTAGAATTGATGGTTAAATGCAATTTGTCTTGATCTTTATTTCAATGTGTGGAATTCAGTTTAAGTGGAATATTTATGTAGTTTAATCTCTGATGTTTCAAAGTTTTCAGTATTTTTTAGTCTAGCCTTCAGTGTGGGATTTGGATATCAGTTTATCAGATAAGATTTAAATATATAAGACAGGGAATCCTTAAAGTTTTTGATAATAATGTTGCTATGGAAACCAAATAATTTCACAATTTGAAATATCTTTTGTACATAAGAATTTGATGTCTTGACAGCTGTGGTGGACTGATAACCAAATGACTTCAAAAGACCAGACATAAAACAAACTAATCAATGGAAACAAGTGACTTATAGATATTTCTTACAGTTTAACTCTACTACAATAAGGATAGTGGACAATTGACCATAAGTGACCAGGTGTTGAATGAACATCCGTCAAGTCACATTGATCATTGAAAGTGACAAAGACCTGCACCGATCAATAATATCAAATTACAGCAGTGAAATCACGATATAGAAAATGTATCTGAAATTTACTTAATTTTAAAACTACCTCAATTACTAGACACTAAAAACCAATGTCAATAAAGTTCTTCTGAAATGTGGAATTTTTAAATTGCTTAGTAATTGACTATATTCACCATAAATGCCTTATGGAATGATCTTTCTAAATGGATTTAATAACAGTGAAATATCGCTTTTTATAACATATGTCAACAAAATTAAATTGGAGCACCTAAATGGAAACTTAATGGATGAATATTAAGTGACACGTGAACAGATAGATTTTTGAAAATAAGAACTCAGAGTGGAGTACCGTTTCCCAAACTACGAAACTTTCACCATGGATGCCTTAAATTTATTACAGCAACAACGAAGGGACTCTGAGAATATGGTGGGATATCTATCCGATTTAACGATATCCAGTTCGGATGAAGATTCCAGTGAAGATGATAATAAAGTCCGAGGGCATTGGAATAGTCGTCTGGATTTCGTATTATCATGTTTAGGCTATATTGTTGGCTTAGGAAATGTCTGGAGATTTCCATATTTAGTCTACAGAAATGGTGGCGGTAAGTTCCTTATTGTTCAAATCCACTAATTACACTTTGAACAGTGATTTAATGTCATTTGATTATCTGTCAGGACACTTATTGCACTTAGCATAAAGAGATGAGATGTACAATGACAATTCAGACATTCATCCCTGCTCCATTTGCCCCATTCTCATATAGACACAGCTTTATGGAACAATCACTGGTTAAAGTTTTATGCAATGTTTTGACGTGTTTGCCCCGCTGTCCTCAGGCACATAATGAGAAGAAGTGATGGGCAAACTATAAGCATTAATGTATATATAGTTTGCCCATCACTTCTTCTCAATATGTGCCTGAGGACGATGATGCTGCTGGAAGTATTGGATGATTATAATGCAAAATGGTAGACCAAACTCCCAGATGGTTATTTAAGCTACCTATGACCAAACTAACTATAAACACCCATATCCCCCACCCAATTACACTAGATTTTTTACATATCTATAAACTATCTTTGATAACATAATGAATGAATAATAACAATTATATACAATAGGTTATAGTACTCTATTGTTATAATGTCTATAATAGTTAATGTACCTATTAAATCTTTCTTTAGAAAAATAATTATGTCTGATACCTTAAAGCAGCTTTGAAAACCTTTGATTTGATTAATGCTTTTAAAGAAACATAGCTAAAATATTTCTACCTGTATATCTAAGTGCAAAAGATTGCACATTGTACATTGTTTGGCATTGATAGTTTTCATAAGCCTAATAGTGCATTCAGATGACTAAAAGCAGCTTAACTATCAACCGTTCTTCAAGCAAGCCTGTTTTTTTAGGCTCTAAGAATGGTTGATAGTTAAGCTGCCTTAACTTTAGTTGTTTGAGCCTACTATAAGAAAGATGGTTGCTTTTCTCCTGGGAATAATTACCTGAACTCAAAACTACAATAATATTTTCACTGTTAAAATACCAATATAGATTTCTACACCCTATACTATAATGTTGGTCTTCATCTCTGCCATAGGATTGATTTTTCATCTCAAACTTATGTAATATCAAATCTGTCAATTCTTTACTCAACTGGTCTCTTTAATACACTGTATGATCTTACAATAATATATTCTTTAGATTGAATCATTGACTATCAAGTCTATTGAATCAATATCAATAGTATAAGTCAATATGGTAGTAGAAACATGATCTGTAATCATTTCTTTGTTAGTCCCAGACTTACTGGTCTTCTTACAAGCTTCTGATAGATATATTTGCCAGTTATTTTACATGATTATTGATATTATTATATTGGTTTGATTTTCTATCACAAGTAGAATTTGAATTGCTTTTTATACACATAAAATACACTTATAACAGCAGTAGGCCTACAAAGTTAAGGTTAGTGTATTATGTAAAGAAAGTGAGATTGAGGTCATGAATGTTTAGACCTATTGTGTCCAACCACAACCCATCATACCCTCGGGGCTGTGGTGACACAAGTGTGGAAAATTACGTATTCATAGCTAAATATTGTCCAATCAAAATTGCCACTACTGTGTTGGTAGTAAATTTCAGCCAATTAAAAACAAATCACTCTTTATTACGCTTTGTTTGTGAACATAAACAAAACGCAAGCAGCATGCCATTACATATTTTGATGAATATGTATGGTCAGAATTGAGTAAGAATTGAAGCGGAGAGAAAATCAAACCTTACTGGGGAAAGAATGTGTTCTTATCTTTTCGAAAGCGGCGGCAAAGCTGTGTTGCGTTTTGTTTACATGACCTCATTTCTGTTCAACTGATCTAATTGGTCAGATTTAAATACCACAAATCTCATTTCCACCTCCACAAAACAAAGTGTAAAGGGCTTAGCTTAGTTTAATACGGGTTAATAAGACGGTGTCAAAACCTGTATTTGTGATACAATGGTTTAGACTCCTGTATTAATTGCATCTTGACAGCAAAAAGCCATAATAAAAACATATAAGGGATGTAAAGGGCCAGTGAGTTTCGGACTACTCTCTTCAATACAAATATTACATTAATTATTGCCTCTTTCAATCACAATACTGGCCACCATAATGTAACAAATATTGCTCTTTTAAAATGTCAGGAATTGTTTTTATTCATTGATCTTGTAAAGTGAGAAATTTCATTATTCAAGCTTTACTATCCTTTCTTTAAATGTCAACTGTTTATTGATGGGTCATGGAAGATTAGGTTTCCTATCTAGCTTTCTGAATGAAATGCTGAAGTTACAAGAATATAAGATGAATTTTGATCAGATCTGACTGCAGGTCATTTATTAGAAACATTATAGCCTCAAGTTAGTTACAAATACATTGTACTATTGATCTTATTGCACTCATAATGTTAACCATTCAAATATATGAAGAATTTAAAAAATGACCTAACTGACAACATACTTTGCTACATGCTTCATCTCAAATTTTAAAATTTCACATTTGCTCTGATTATTTTTACTGAGACCTTTCAATTTAGATCTTATTCTAGATCGTTCTAAATCATTCTACTGATGGTTTCGATGTCTTCCCAGTTCGCCCCATACCCATTTTGTCCCTTCCCATCTCGCCCCTTCCCACTTCGGCCCTTACTTTTCTATAATTAGACCACATAATAAATTATGCTTGTTCCAATTCCGGTTCTGTGTGCATTTTAGTACTGGAGTAGTAGGAATTTGATAAAGAGTAGGCTGGAATGTCCAATTCCTTTGTAAGTGCATTGAAAAAGGGGAAAGGGGCGAAAATGGGAAAGGGGCGAACTGGGAAAGAGGCGAAGTAGGAATAAGGGGCAAAATAGGAATGGGGAATAATGGGAAAGGGGCAAAATAAAAAAGGGGCAAATTGGGAAAGGTGAAATGGTAATAAACCGGTTTCTGCTACACATCTTTATTTCATGTAGATAGTATAAATGATTATTCCCCACTGGTGTAGGTTGAGAGGTTCGTTCTGTTGTGAAAGATGATTACACCTCCAGCATGGTATTTTCACTGATGTTTCATTATATTTTTCAGGAGCATTTTTTATACCTTATTTGATTATGTTGATATTTTGTGGTATACCAATGGTTTATATGGAATTAGCATTTGGTCAATATGCCAGTCTGGGTCCTATAACTATCTGGAGAGCAGTTCCTCTTTTCAAAGGTATTTATTATGAAATACATAACAGCAACAAGGTAGTGTTTAGAAATGATATTGATGAAAAATACCATAAAGACAAAAATGTTGATTTTCTGTTAGAAAAGCTGAATTGATAGAGCCACCACTGGGATGTATCAGTCACACAGAAGAGTCACACATGCTCTGTCTTGTTTTAAATACCTGACACATTAAATATTGCAGTGGAATATGGCAATGTTAAGTTAATTTTATGATATCAAGAGCTTAAATCTGATATTTCAAGAATATAATATACAGGCACAAAGCAAAACTATTGAGAGTATGTATGGATGTCAGGATGGTGAAGACCAGAAAATACTGGAATAAATAAAGTATAATATCAGTTGACAAGATAAATTCTATCCACCATCTTCCACCCACTGGTATTACAAAACAAGTTAATAAAATAAAATATTTTGACTTCAAGAGATTCCAAACTTGGAGAACGTGCTGTTTATTTCAAATCAGATAAAATACAATCAATTATCTAAGTGGCATTGATCCTATGGAAGGAGCCAAGTAAACATATCTCAATATTAACTGACCTCTCCATCAACAGATTTCAATTCAATAATACGTAGATTTTAAAGCCCTCTCTTATTGAAATTAGATTGAAAGTAAAATACAAAACCTGGGAAATTCAATGATGTTAAAGGTTCTTACATTAGTTTGGATTGATTCTGTCTGGTTTCTGGATTAAGTAATTAACAAAAAAGATGATGACAATGGCATTATTTAAGTTTGAAAATACTTCGGTGCAATTTCAACATTTAATCATGACTTGATTACAAAAAAATTTGTATTGTCAGTATTTACTTTCAATGTCCTTCAAGCTATTTTCAGGTCATCTTTTGGGTTTCACGTCTGCACAATATTATTCATTCACAACTGCACATAACTAAACTTGAGAGTAATAAAAATTAGTACATGCAAGACAATTCTGTTTATCATAATCTCTGATCCAAAAGATTACAAAATCAAGAATGAAAGTTGTATAGTAGTGGACTCCTCCAAGGAGAAGTACCATCAGATGGTTGAAAAGGCCCAAGATGCTAGAAACAGATTTGTAATATCTGTCTGCTTTAACGATAATAGAATTTCTACTTTCACAATTACGCAATCTGATTTCTGGCTAGAGATTTTGATTTGACTATATTTTCCTGACATGACAATATCCTGTGTCGGTCATCAATTAATGGTTAGCCTGTTGGAAATTCAAACCAACACAGTGACCTGATAGTTTTGCTGTCTGATTCACTGTCTGATTCACAGCTGGTCATCAGACATTTTGATTAGAGAAATCAGCTGTGTTAAACCAATCAGAAAAGGTTATGAATGTCTGAACAGTCATCAAAAGTTACTCTGCTTGGTATCCTGGGAAGAATTCCACTAACCTTACAATGTAATAAAATGGAAGGTTTATATACTACTTCTTTGCTCCAGTTTGGTACAATAGAAAGGGCCATGAAGTGTGCAATGAAGGAAGTTTTACAAAGAAATTGTTTATGTGCCAAGTCATATACATGGGGATCATGTTGACTTTCTCTGAAGGAGAATACCAGAATAAACAAATCAATGTATGGAAGATTAAATTAAAATCTTGGATTACAAGTAAGAAAACAAAAAAGTATTTGAAGAGTTAAAACTTGACTCCTTCAATAATCATCAAATTCATCTCTATATCTATTGTGTCTATTATTCCAAAATTTCTGTTTCATGCAAATTTTCATACTTTCAATGTATCTAAAAGTACAGTTAAACAACATGTCTATGAAATATAACCTCAGAAAATTAATCATCAAATTTCATCATGCATTTAAAATCTATTAAGACTTGGTAAGAAATAATCATAGCCTGTAGGTTTTTATCATCTATTTACGATGTAGACAGTACGGATTAAATCCAAGCTATACAGTTGTCTGGATATTTTTTACAAGCTGAAAGAGCTAAATCAAATAAAAAGTACATGTATACCAATGGACATGGCCAAATAGGAACCACAGAATTATCATAGGAAGGCAAATAGCACCAGGCATTTAAGAACTCACTAATATGAAATTTGACTGATATCTCTATTAGCTGGTACATCATATATTTGTACAAATGAATCCCTATTAATACCAGCATATAATGGAATCATAGTTTCAACTATTTGAAATTGGAAGAAAAGAAAAAAAAAATTGCTTTGTCTTATTTTTGTGAAAGAATATAAAAGATATTGATCTTTCATCATAAAATATTGAGTTTTGAATACACTTTTATCATTTACTACTAAGATCTAAAAATTTATTATAAACACAAACAGATATTTGAAGTAGATCTTGCAATACACAATGTAGCACTTCAATACTTTATATTACTAGTTTTTAAAACTGACACAAAGCTATGACTTGGGGAATTTAAAGCACCAGGTTTACAAAAATAGAAAAATGTACAGCAAGGTGTCTGACAAACTGATTGTATAAACAACAGTCTGAAAAACAAGACAAATTATAGAAACACTGCTTGCAAAAAGGAATTTTTACAGCAACATGTCTGACAAACAAGACACATGTACAATGTAATGTTTGACAGACAAATACATCAAAGCCTCAGACAACGTCACTTTTGTATCTGAAAAACGAAACACATTTATAGCATCAAGATAAGTTGCAATGTAGATAGACATATGTACAACAACATATTTGACAAACTAGACACACGAACAGTCAAATTTTATTCTTGTGGCATTAAATTCTAACTTATTCTGAATGAATTTTTTGATGCGGTGATCTTGGGGAGTAAATGCCTCCTGAATTGATATAAGTGACACTAGGGACATTTCTCATCATGGTCTACCTTAATCCACTGATTGGTCTACAAAGACACACAAGACAGCCTAAGCCAATAAGGTTAAATTTGTCAAACCAACAGCCTGGTTGATTTCCAACAACATCATACTCAGTTTTATGTAACACCTTTTTCCTTACTTAAAAGGGGCATTCCGTTTATTTTTGTAGGTGGTACCTTTTTTTTTGCTCATTGTGAAGTAGTTTATGGTAAAATTTATGAAAATGTTGGATACTGCCCCTTTAAAAGGCTTTGATATACTAGGCGCTTATATCTTAATCTATTTGCAGGTGTTGGATATGGTATGGTATTAGTATCTATGGTTGTAGCTGTATATTATAATGTTGTCACTGCATGGGCAGCGTATTATTTATTTACATCCATGACATCAGTGTTACCATGGGAGTCATGTAATAATTCTTGGAATACAGAAAGTAAGCGATTATAATTTGTGTATGTGGTTATATGATATCAGTGCCATCAACATTTTCAGTTTTTTTGGTCTTTATTTTCCTTACCTTAATAATATACTTTTCTTAAACTTAATTAGTCCTTCAGATCATGTTGACATTTAGCTTATTATTAATTTCACTCTGCAGTGTGTTTTTAATTTCACAACTGATTATGCGATGATATGATTCTGCCTGAAAAAACAGTAGAAACATAATAAAATTGATGGTAGAAACTATACGTATATATGGCTTTGATCACACTTTGAAGGTGCCTATTTATATAAATCTGATATGAATTTGATGTTGGATCAGAAGTTTCTGAGTTGTGTTCAGATTGCCGTTGTTTTATTTACAGGAATTGTCCATGTTTTGTATTTAAAAGACAAGCAGAAATGTAAAACTTTATAATTGAAAAAAAAGCATATTTCAGTAACCTAGACCTAGTACATAAAAATATAGATTTGTTTATTTAGACACATTTTTTATAAAACGTGTTCCCTTTCATTTCAGGGTGCAATATCAATAAATTTGAAATTACCAATTGTTCAGCAGTGAACTTAAGTTATATCGACTCTCCTCTGTTTGAAGATAATATATTGTGTACCAGTATATTAAGGAACTGTAGTTTATATAATGATACAGAAGTTATACCCTGTATTAAAGAATTACAAACTATATTTAGTGATTCAGTGATAAACCCCTTGTATACACATAATAAAACATCACCCAGTGAAGAATATTTCTAGTAAGTCCTATTCTGTTTCATTTCTTTAGTATAGATTGATTTTACTTCAGTATAGATATATCCTATTTTATGTCAGTCATTCAATACTAGATGCATCAGTCAGTATTAAAAGTATTCTATTACATCTCAGTCGATAAAAACTTAAACCTAGCTTATCCTATTTCAGTATGAAATTACATTTCAATCATTTTTTTTTTATTAAAATGCACTCTATTATCTTGATTCAACATATTATCGTATTTGAGTGCAACTTAGCCTATTTTAGTATGAAATGTATCTTTTGCAGTCTTGCAGTATTTAATGTTTTCTGTTTTAACCAGTAAATTTCTTCTATTGTTGTCATTCAGTATCAATTGTATCCTATTCTATTTCAATCATTCAGTATCAATTGTATCCTATTATATTTCAATCATTCAGTATCAATTGTATCCTATTCTATTTCAATCGTTCAGTATCAATTGTATCCTATTATATTTCAATCATTCAGTATCAATTGTATCCTATTCTATTTCAATCATTCAGTATCAATTGTATCCTATTCTATTTCAATCGTTCAGTATCAATTGTATCCTATTATATTTCAATCATTCAGTATCAATTGTATCCTATTCTATTTCAATCGTTCAGTATCAATTGTATCCTATTCTATTTCAATCGTTCAGTATCAATTGTATCCTATTCTATTTTGATCATTCAGTATCAATTGTATCCTATTTCATTTCAGTCATTCAGTATCAGTTGTATCCTATTCTATTTCAGTCATTCAGTATCAGTTGTATCCTATTCTATTTCAGTCATTCAGTATCAATTGTATCCTATTCTATTTCAATCGTTCAGTATCAATTGTATCCTATTCTATTTCAATCATTCAGTATCAATTGTATCCTATTCTATTTCAATCGTTCAGTATCAATTGTATCCTATTTGATTTCAGTCATTCAGTATCAATTGTATCCTATTTGATTTCAGTCATTCAGTATCAATTGTATCCTATTCTATTTCAATCATTCAGTATCAATTGTATCCTATTTGATTTCAGTCATTCAGTATCAATTGTATCCTATTTCATTTCAGTCATTCAGTATCAGTTGTATCCTATTCTATTTCAGTCATTCAGTATCAGTTGTATCCTATTCTATTTCAATCATTCAGTATCAGCTGTATCTTATTCTATTTCAGTCATTCAATATCAATTGTTTACTATTTTATTCCAGTCATTCAGTATCAATTGTTTACTATTTTATTCCAGTCATTCAGTATCAATTGTATCCTATTTTATTTCAGTCCTTCAATATCAATTGTGTCCTATTTCATTTCAGTCCTTAAGCGCACATGGGGAAAACATCTCAGCTCTCAACCTCTTGAGGCAGACAGCTCAGTTATTTCCTCTCATCTGTGGCAGGCTTTAAAATAAAAGGCTTTCAGAATAATATGTAAGATTTATAATGAAATAGGATACATTTTATACTATAAAATGCATCTATTTCAGAAATGCTTTAGTAATAATTTAATGTATCCTTTTATATCCTTTTCAGTCGTTCAGTATTAAATGTATCAACAGGTCTACAAGAATTAGGTGAAATAAGATGGCAGCTAGCTCTATGTTTATTAATGTGTTGGACCATTATATTTTTATCTTTATTAAAAGGAATACAGATCTCAGGAAAGGTCAGTTATAAAAAACAATATATTTTATATATTAAAGACTGATGATAATTGCTTTCAAATATTTTTTCAGTCAATTTAAATGAAAATAAGTCTTTGAATTACAAAAAAACTAGATTTGTTTCATATTTTATAAGAAGTTTCTCCTTTCAGATATCTTATGCTGTAGTATCCTTTCCCTATATTATTATAATTATATTGTTAATTCGTGGAATGACTATGGATGGAAGTTTAGATGGTATCAAGTTTTATGTGACACCAAAATGGGAGTTGTTACAACATCCTCGAGTGTGGGGTGATGCTGCTACCCAAGTCTTCTTCTCGTTGTCTGTTTGCTGGGGCGGATTGACTACACTAGCTAGTTATAATAAATTTCATAATAATATATATAGGTAAGTACTTTAGTTTGCTGTGTGCTCCCCATTCTTAAATATTATAAATGACAAGAATCTATTTGTGATTTTGGCTGGACCATTGATGAATGTTTTTAGTATTAAGTATTATAGCACTACCTAGCTTCTGTGTTCCATTTCATTTCCTTGCATTATTCATTCTCTTCATCTCTTGGGTAGTTTGAAATTCAGGAATTGTGCACAAATATCTTGTCCTAACTGCATCTATAAAAAGTATTTTGAGAAATAGCATATTAGAATATATAAAAAACAAGGTAAAGATAGGCAAGAGAAATTCATGCTAAAATTAAGAGCAGAGTATTAACATTTGTGAATGATGACCTAAAACTAGAATGAAATAGTAAGAAAGTTGATATACATCAATAAATAATGATTATTAAGGAAAAAGATGAATTTACTAGTAATTTCTATTTGGATCAAGTGGACCTTGAACAATGACATCATTAAGTTTGCAATTCTCAAGTAATCAATAATTGAATTTGCAATGTTCATATCACAGGCTGAAAATAGATCACTTGTTAGCTTGAAATTCTGTGTAACAGCATGATTCAAGTTTTGTTTTAATATTTCTAAATTGTTTGTGATGTTAATTTCAGAGATACTATATTAGTATGTTTAGGTGATACGTTAATGAGTGTTTTAGCAGGGTTTGCAGTATTTGCTAGTATTGGTGTGTTAGGTAAAGAACTGGGTACATCAGTAGATAATGTTATCCAATCAGGTTGGTATGATTTATCAACTTACCTTATATTCTGAAGGTAGCTATCGGAGTTAAATGCTTGTTTACTAATCTAAACATCCAGGGTTTGAACCTTGCATAGGTCACTGGAGTGTTTAAGGATTTTTAAACCTGGTTTAATTGATGTAACATCAACATTTGAGGGTCACATTATTTGGCGGAGGGTTACGATGAATCACATTTGAACATGATTAAGCCCAATTAATTTGTTATTGTAAGCCATAATGCATCCAAACTAGTAATATGTAATACTTTGATATTAAATTTCTAAAAATCTTAGTTATTTAGACAGACATTTGTTTTGTACAACATTGTCTTTTTTAAAATTGGAAATAAGTAATTTAAATGGTATTTTGTATTTTAGATGTGGGTTTAACATTTATTGTGTATCCAGCAGCTATAGTGTCTTTCCCAGTAGCTCCATTGTGGTCTATATTATTTTTTCTGATGATTGTAATGATGGGACTGAGTACACTGTTCACCTCTGTAGAAACAATAGTTACTGCCATTGTAGATGAGAATATAAAGATCTTACACAAGAAAAGAGTTGTTATATTATCTATAGTTTGTTTGTCTGCCTTTTTACTTGGTCTTCCATTAACCACACAGGTAAGATTTTTGAACATTTTGACCAATTTTTGTATTGTGATGGTGTGTATCAAGGTGTATGACTTTTCTTGCATTATTTGTTGGCGATTTTGGTTTTAGTCCATCAGAATAATTTGGATTTCAGCTATTGTATCATGATAATCAAAAGTGTTGATGATAACAATGTAGATTACTTAAACAGTAACAACCTGTGACTAGTATACCATACATATTCACTATACTATGGACTATTAATGTGATCTCCATTTGTTTAGAATAGACATTTCTGAAGTCACCTGCCAAAATCAACCTGATCTGCATGATGTTTTTTTTTTAAATGTCTCTTAAGAATCTATCTGTTCCCATATTAGGGCAAATGCCTATGGTTAGGTTGAGTATCACAGTCAGAACAGTTCAGAAGTGCACATCAAGGCTCGAAATTCCATTTCAATATCAATATGTGTCTGGGAACGACCTCTTTAAGGGATATTTACTATCTGTTACCACTGATTCCCAATAACTTTCCTTGAAAGATTCCAGGATTTCTTTAATTCAGGGTGGTCTATATATTTTGCAACTTATGGATGGTTTTGCTGGTGGGTTTCCTCCAATGGTTAATGCAGTATTTATGGGTGTAGCTATTGGATGGACGTATGGTGTGAAACAGTTCTGTCGAGATATCTCTCATATGATTGGTATCACAGTCAGTTGGTGGTGGCGTACCATGTGGTACGGAGTTAGTCCTATTATAACTTTGGTAAGTTGAAAAGTTATTTCCACTAAAAATGATGCTTGCTTGCATGTCTGTAGTTTATTTGATAGAAGTACAATTTATGACAGCATCTTTTGGTTTTGCTATCCAACAATTGGTTATCATCATCCAACAGGTCCTATATGGCAGACTTTGATTGGTTAAAGATAAAGTCGTAAGAATGAAGCTGTGTTAGAAAAGATAATAAAGTCCCAAGACAATGCATAATCTCCTTGATGAAAGACCTGATAGCGCATATTAACCTCTTTTCTTGAAAACCTTCACCTTCACCTGGTTATGTCAACCAAGCTTCCCTTGTGAAAATCACATTATTAGCAACTTATCATTATCATTATTTTATTTCAGTTTATACTGATATTCTCAGCAGTTGGTTATATTCCATTACATAGAGAGTTTGATGATATTCGGTATCCTCAGTGGGCTGAAATTGTTGGTTTTCTCCTAGTGGCACTATGTATTGTACCAGTACCAGCATGGATTATAATAAGATTAGCTACAATCAAAGGAAGTCTAATTCAGGTTAGTAGGCCCTGTATATATGACTGTTGTATTGGCAAATTAAGACAAGAATTTTTAGTCCTGGTATTTTTGAGAATTGTCTGTCAATGTCAACCCCTTTCACTTCTAATGTTCATTTAATATCTCTGTACAGCATTTGTCAGTTGTATTGGATTACAGCTCCAAATTACAAATTAGCTAAAGATTTTTTAATTTAGCCAGATTTGTATATTTTTCACAGATTTCATAACAACTATAAAAAATGTAAATATATATATGTTTAAATATCCAGTATAAATTATACTGCCTGATACTGAAGATGTTAATTTCTTCTCTTAACAGAAGTTTAAAATGTTGTGTCAACCAGAAAGAGATTGGGGACCAGCATTAGAAAAACATTGGAAATATGCAGAATATTATCCTGCTGTTAATGCCCAGAACTTTCCAGAATTAGATTCCTCACCCATTACTACTATTACAGGTACATTTCTTGTTTCTATACCTGTCACAATTAGAATTATTTCTAAATAGGATGTAGTTATCGATAATGTCTGATAGATGTCAAAAACCTCATTCTTGTTAATCATCAATCAGCTGGAAACAATAATTAGATCACTTTAATTGCAATTATATTTGAAAATTTGGAATTAAAAATTGGATTTGACTTGTTTTAATGGGTTTTATATATAGATTCACATTTTTGTGTTGAGTCTTGTTTACATTCACCATTTTGTCCCTATTTTATATTGGTATTGTAATTATATAATATCAGAAGGAAAAAGTGTGAGGTATATGGCCGTTTGTATTTTTATGAACCATTAGAGAATTTGTCAGCCTATAGAGCTAAAGTATTGGAAAATATTAAGAACTTATTTAAATATTGATGACAATTTTCAAAACAATTCTAGATAACCGAAATATTGAGGATCTGACTGAATCCCTACTGGCGCCTATATCACAAGGAATAATTAAGACAAAAAGAGGTACCTTCATGTGCAATATATATATATATGAAGCATACATGTTTTAATTGATGCAAATGCTTTTCTTAAAAACAATACAAAAGGAAACAGTCATTTGATCATTGCTTGATTAGAGCCCAGTTTCAGCTACCCATAGCTATACTTGTATCTGTATTCAAGCTTTATCAGCTGGTAAAGCAAATGATTGCTTAACAATATTCACTGGTAATAGTAATCATTATGCTTAAATTAGATAGAGCCAATGCTGGAGCTTTTAATTTCTCTGCATCATTATCATTGGCAAATCGGTTTGACTGTCTTTTGCCTGAAGGAAGATCCAATATTGACAACTCACTTGTTTGTCTTTTGTACACTTTTTCATTAAGAAAAGGCAAAGCTGAACAAACATTATCACCAAATAATGAGCAAGTTATGCCCTTCATGGTGTAAATTATGCCTCCATGATCAAATATAATGTGTTTACTTCTGTGATTGTAGATCATATAGAGTTTACCACAGTGGGTGTTAGGGTACCAAGCTTATCAGAATCAAGTTTAATACAAGCTTCACCAAGTGTTCCCAGAACTAAGAAACCTCTAGATATGAGACAACAGGCTATTTTAAACCATGCTTATTCTAATCCACAATGTAATTTGTCGTCTAGTAAGTAATGTTGGCTTAACACAATATATACAGGGGCTTTCAAATATTTGTTTTTTTGTGAAATGGCTATGTTGTTCAAGATATTTCAAAGCTTAAATTTTACATGTGCTTTTTTATGTGCTGTCAATCATGCTCAAGTCATTTCCATTACCATGTTTTGTCTGCTGAAGCTTAATGCTTTTAATGCTTAACAAATACTTACGAATACTACAATACAAATTTTAAAAAGTTAAGAAGCAACAGTCTCTATTCTGCTTTGGGCTCGAAGCGGTTTCTGCCAGGTTGAAAAACTGAACTGAATCTTTATAAATGTAAGAGCAGTAGAGTGACATACACTTAATCAAACTTGACTTCTGCCATTTCTTTCCTACAATGTGCACCACTATTTTTGAGCATAATTCTAGACTTGCAATATTCACCATATTTGTGCATATGGGGATTTTTATCAACATGGATGCCCTAAAATTTTCTTTCAAAGTAATATTGATGGTTTGACATTAACATCTGTATAATTTAAAACCAAGCTATATTTTTATAGATTCTATAGAAAAACTAGGCATGAAGAAAATATGTTCAGCCAGTGAAAGTGCTCTAGATGATATAATTATAGTACCAAGAACTAGATTAAAGGTTGAAATGAAAGACGCTGCAACTCAGACTACTTGTAGTACATTGAATAAAGAATTGTCCAACTCTCTGAGTGCCAGTACCAGCAGTCAAATTGATGATGAAGTCTTTGATGTAAGTATAGGTCACAATATTAACCTGAAAACGTAGATCATAATTTGTGACAGTAAAATTAAACCTCCTATCACTAGATTTTCAAAAATTTCCCAGAAAATGGGAAGGCTAAATTGTATTTTTTATTTGAATTAAGGTACAAACATTTGAGGCTAATGCTTTTTTTGCTAAGGATTTTAGCCAAGGTTTCTAAAAGTGGAGACTAAGCCACCTGTAGCCTCTCCAGCTCCTGGTTTTGGATTTGAAGCCATTTCAATTCATCCTTGAAGAATTTATCTGTAAATGTAAAAGTGAAGCACTTTTAACAACTTTAAAATGACTCTGGTACTGACTATGGATCAGTTTTTTTGGTCAGTCTGCGTCTGTAAATTTCACCTCAGACTTTTTACTAATGTAATAGCAAATATGTTTTGTTTTTTCAGTCTAGTGTGTCACCTACAACTGAAAAGGGAAAAGATAGAACTGATGGAACACCTCCAAAAGAAAGTTCTCCTACAAGAAAAGTTTCTTGGAATGCAGACATTCAGTTGCATTGTGAAAATCATCCAACTCTTATCAGACGTTTATCATGGACACAAAAACAGGATTTAGCTAACAAAACTCCACCTCATAGACGATATTCTCTTGGATTGCATCATCCAATGATTTATCGTGACTCTACACTTCCTCCCAAACGAAACTTATTAATCAAACAGGATAGTTTAACGCAGACACTCTCTGTTCCAAATCGTAAATCATCGTGGAATAAAGAGACAGAAAGATCTCCTATGAGTCCAAGTCGTAAAGTATCTTGGAGCCCAGAGATTGAGTTCTACAATCGCATATTATCGAAGGCTGAAAATATTAGCCATATTCCTACGCCAAACACATCAATAAGTGAAGACATCGAATTACAGACACAGTGGGAAAAAGACATGAATGATGAGAGTAATCAACTGAATAGAAAGAGGAGTCTAGTGTCTCATAATATAGGTGGTGAACAGTCTGTAGAACTAGAAAGTGTGTTGACGGACAAAGAAAATAGTTCCACCACTTCACCTATATCAGTCTCTACTTCCTCTGACAGTATTTCTGAGAATCAGCCTGCAGTAATTGAAGTTGAGGTCACACATTTTTAACAATAAATACATCATACCTGTAGAGCTGTATTTTGAGATATGTTTTAAATGTAAATATTAGTTTTAATGAATTGCATATAGAACTGTACATTTACAATTTAAGTGCTTAACAGGAATGAATGTAACTGTGGTAGAAAACTTGATGGATTAAAATGGAGACAAAAAATATCAGAAAACATAATAGAAACGAAATAGTAATCTTGTTTTAGTTTACATCTGTAAAACCTTTTTTCCAAAATTTGTTATTAATGCAAGTTATTGTTAAATTTGTTATTATTGCAATAAATTTATGTGATTTTAGTATTGCCTTGAACACATTCAAATTGGTTATTTTGTTATTGGTGATTATACGAACTCTTTATATTGTTATTGAAGCAACGTCTTATAATTGTTACTGTTTTTTTTTTACAATAGTTATATCTCTTTAGCCTTCTGACATACTACAATAAGATTGTTTAGTTCTTGGTTTTAGAATTGAACTATTTGCAAAAGCAAAGGTTCTGAAAAATGAGATCAAACTAATGTCTGGGCACTTGCAGATTTTAACTTTGGAAAGTGATACAGATAGTATTAGTAGACACTAATATCTGTGATATATTGTACATGTCATTGCTATCTAATATTATTTTGGAATACTGAATTAACATTTTTACACCTCTCAATGTTCCAGCACCTTGGGTCTGCTTGTTTTACATATTGGTTCATTTTAACAATATAGTATTGAAACTGATTTGGTCAGTTATTTAACATAATTCACAGTTTTGAAGCATTAGTCGAAAAATGTTGGCCATTGAACCTATTAAACTTATAAAACATTATCCTGATGTTGCCTGTTTTACATGCTAATTTTATTGTATATAGTACAAAGATAAATATTTTATAAAAACAATATTTGATATGAATGTATTTACAAATTATAATATATACAATACATATAATTAGCAAGATATTGTATATTTCCTATTGTGAATATTTTTTATATATTGCCTAAATTGGCTTTGTTTAATTACAAAAATATCTTACTGACTAAAATCAGTGTATTTGGGAGCTTTGTGATGTTATCTTAGCAGAGATTATAATTATGTATATGTATGAATGAATATTGCCTTTATAAATTACATTGTATATATATGTACATATTTAACAGATATTAACTGTATTTGAGTGGTATAATATTGTATTATAGGTATATTGTACTGTATAAATGATAAATAGATAAGGAATGAGTGTATAAACACTAAATAATTGTATCAATAATCATATCTTTATACTAATATGTATGAATAATAGAAGTATATAGATTTAAATATACATTAAATATTGAGAGTAATATATTATGTTAATGTCACCTTGGTTTTATTATGCACATAATACAGTATAAATATATTTCTACCAATATTGCACATTAAATGGATGGGGTTTTAAGAGACCTGTTCAAATATATTGATATTGTATGTCAGATCAGCAATTCCAGGTCAATTAAAAGGAGTATTTCGCTGTGAGTTTTAGAGACAATGGGGCACAGTTCCAACCTTGTAATCAAGTTCTAAAGACATAAAAACATCAGAGTTGTTTTGAAAATTTATTCAGTTCTTCAGCATTCCTTACATGAATGATGTGTTATATTATAAAGGCACACAATATTCAGGAATGGGTTTAATCAAAATAAATTTTTTGTATGCCAATTTCGGTTCAGACTAGAATATTTTTCTTATCTTTATGAAAATAATTTCAAATTTTGACATTTATATTTATCTGACATTCTGTTGACAACAATGTTCTCAATTGAATCAAGTCTTTCAATTGCATTGTATTGTATATCACCTCCTTCACAAGTATTCCTCAATAAATGTACAAAAATTATAATACAATATTTACAAATAAATAATATTCAGATATGCCGATCATGATCTTGGATATTATTCGCTTAACTTAAACAATTCATGATTTTAAAATGGACAAAAAAAACATGAATAATATATTGAAGATTCCGACCAAATAATTCATAATCTTATATCTTATTCAAACAATTCTTTTTTTTTTTTTTTTTAGACTATTCATGATCTTATACAGGCATACAGAGACAGACACACACAACAGATGCAACCAAATATAACATAATTTAAAAAATCGAATCTTTTTGACATTAAATATCCATCTATCTTAAGAGGGATAAATGACAAACATAGGCTCCAAAAAGGTTTGATGTTCAAATTATCATTCTCCTTGAGCACCCTACTGAAATCACAAAATTTGACATAACTTTACAATATTAATTCAGCATTATAAATAAGTATGATTTTGGCCAAATAAAACTAGTAATAATGCTAGAACAAGAGCTAAAACTGTCTTTTTTTCTTTTAAGTTTTAAAAAAATAATTAAAAATTATTTGGCATTTAATTCCATTGCAATTTTTGTGAATTTGCTAAATTAGGTTTCAATAAAACTATGAATTATAAGAAAAATAGACCAAATTACAAACAAACTGACTTTACATTTACACATTATAAAATATAGAACTATTTACATCAAGCACTATTAAGATGGAGTTGATATGGTTCTTCTCTACAAAATGTTTTATTTACATGAAAATTACAAAAATTTATACTTCAATTTTAATTGAACCATAACCCATCCAATTAATTTCAACCAAATCATATTCTTTTCTGCTTTTTACATGGACAATTCTTTTAGGCTCTGCCTATGATCCTTTTCTTTTTTTAGAATAAAATATTGTTTCTGATCCAACTGGTAATAAATTAAAACAGAAAATTGAAGATGACATGAAAGGATGACAATATTAGGATTTTGAGTAGAGAGAATCACAGTAGATCTAAATTTGCATTGACAAATATTTTTAACAATCATTAATATAACAATTAAATTTAAAACAGTATTTCCATACATTCTAAATATAATCTAATCTTTAAGACAATTATGCAACTGCCAACTTGCAATGTTCTGTTGTTACTTAACCTTTGCATGCAACCCTTATCATGTATTTTCTATCTCATTTTCAATAACATATAAGGTCTTGGCAATATCACAAATGACGGTTAATTTTAAGATGAAGGGCGTTATTTAACAATATCGAAATGAACTGTGACTAAAATCTGAAATGAAATGTGAATTTAAAAATGAAAACCTAAAACAATCAATTAACAAAATTCTGTTACAACCATTGAATACAATAACAAAAAAGGCACTGCCTTAATATTCTGAGATTTATTTTGACTGTAGGTGAATCCATAGTAGCACCATAATATCCCATGCATAATCACATGACATATCCTCCGCGACACAATACTTATGAAAACAAAATAGCATTGGGAAGCACAAGGAACATTAGCATTAAGAACATTACATGACTAACTTTCTATCCTTGATACCGCCAAATATTCATCATATTTCAAAATTGTAAGTAGTCGACAATGGATACTTATTTATGAATTTCACAAATTGTTCAAAAATAATAACAAAACATGACAATTAAAGATGATTAAAACATGCATGTGCCTTAAAAAAAAACACAGCACACTGTGTCTAAATTTGAGATAAAAAACACAAAACTGAGTTTTCCACGTAAAAATACTTGTCTTAACTTGAGACAAATCAACAGATCTACACAAACAATTGTCTTTTTTGTCACAAAATTGTGCCCAAAAATGAAAAAGAGAATCAAATCTCTAAAGCAATAACTCCACTTTTTCACACGTTACTAAATGTATCCTTTTCAACCATTGGTGTTGAATTAGACAATTCAGTGTCATCTAAGGGAAGTTTCTCTTCTGGTTCAGCTGCTAACATTTTTTCAGCAAGTTCTGGATGCGTAAAAGTGAGTGAGTTGAGGTATCTTTTACGATCCTCGGGTAAAGCTGGTCCCCAATTAGCAGCAGGTTTCATTAATTTTTTGATTCGCTGAAAAACAAAGGATATATCAGTAAGATTTTGTCATAAACGTTTCCACATTTTAACTGTTTTAAGATTTTAACATCTTAGGATTCTGTAACTTGCAAAACCCTTATAAAACACAAGCTTTTTTTATTTCAAAGTAAAAGCAGTCTCTTCCAGATTCTTTTGGTTAAAAATCATTATTATCAGAATAAATTCTATATATAGCCTACCTGAAGAATTGGACCCTTCTCGTTGTAGATTTGTACAACCATACATAATGGAATTGGAATAAGAGAGACTAATCCTACACTCCAGCCAAGTCCAATAGCCCAGGGAGGATATTCATAATCACCATAGGTTACAGGTTTCAAGGTGATTACACTGAATAACCAGATAAACTGAAATTGATAAAAGAAAAATATTACTAATGGAATAATCAGTTTTATAACAACACTAAAAAACAAGACTTCCTTGAATTTTATTGAAATATTTCTGTACAAAAATAAATAATAATAAATTTTTCAATTAACATGATGAAACAAGATAACATGACTAATTTAAAATAAACAAAATACTTACAACAATGACAATAGGTGTAACATATTTCCACATATAAACCCAGATTCTAGGTGGTTGATAGCCAATCATTAATTCAATATCTTTTAAAAATCTATCAGTACCTACAATCAAAACAGCATCATTACAATCAAAATTGATAATGTGGAAAATGTGATTGGTCAACAGACCATTTCAATGAGTTTCACTGGTTTTAATCCCAAAATTTCAATTTAAACAATAATAAAGCACATTCAAATTTTGAGAAAAACCTTGAGGATTACATTTATACCTGATCATGTATCAAGTTCAAATCTATACCTACCATAAACATAAGCAATAACTAAACATTCAGCAAGAGAGATCAACATGAGTGAGAAACTAGCACAATACCAATCCATAACTTGTAACACATAGATTCCACCCTGTAATATAAATCAAAGACAATGTTAATAGATATAATTAGCAATAGTGATCCGAAATAATTAATTATTTCCTTATACATTTAATTATAAATTCCAATTTAAAGCCCCTATTAGGTTGTTCCTTAAGAAGTCCAAATCAAGTAATGACCATCATCCATCATGTTTCATATTTACCTTGGTAATACAAGCAAGACCCATGAGGAATTCAGCAAAACAGGATATCAAGGTAACAATAACTTTTCTGTTTCTGAACAACTTGGGGAACTCATCCATAGCACCTGACAACATAGTTTCGAACATACCAAACTAGAAACAGAAAAAAGACAAGAACATGTCAGACATTTGTCGTTACTCACTATATCTGAAATAAAAGATGGGGGGGAGAGGACAAATTATTATCATTTACTTTACATAATTTCATCAAAAAATAAACATTTGTTTACATTCCATCATGTAATAAATAAAGGGTAGCACAGTTGATACAATCAATGAAGTATGATGAATGCTTGGTGGACCATGGTTCAAAAATTTGAACTATTGTATGTTGTGATCCTATTATTAATTAGAACTTCCCTTTCATAAAATCTTTTCTACTATATATCCAGCAAACATTCATTCATATAAATATACAATGAAACCAAGTATTATATCTTCAAATAACTCTTGTCGATTATTGTACAGTGCATTCCAAATTTATCAAATGTCAGTTTTGTAAGGTTTCAACATCAACGAAAATGAGCACAGTTTGCACATGCATTGTCAAATTACTGTTTTTAGTAGTAACTCAGGATTGAACAATTATCATGATGCCAAAAACAATATACATTAAGAAACAATGCCACCTGTCTCATGAAGCCTCATCAAATACAAAGTGCATCATAATGCCATAATTTCTAGTGGCTCATATAGCCACAAGCAAAGCCAAGTGTCTCATGTAGACATAAACAATGCCAAGTACCTTGTGAAGCCACATGTAATGTCAATAACTCAAGAAGCCACATTAAAAGTTACATTTGAAGATATAATAAATTGGTATATGATTCTATATAGTCTATATGGTTTGTCATGATGATATAATGAATGTATTGTAAGTGTGTAGATTGTATGCAAATGTCATCTGTTTTATTGGATTTTGTTATTTTATTCTTTCTTTTTTTCATGCATTTAGTCCTACACATATTCATTATATCACTTTACAATATTCTTTCTTCTTTGTTTCTATTCGTTTGATATTTCATCGACTACAGCAAAATATGCTGACAAATGAATTCAATTTTCGAAAATTCAGTTCAAAATAATGCCATATTCAAATTAAGTTTTTAATACTAAATATATTGGAATGTAATAAATATGTGGGATATAAATGCATAAAAATATCAAGTACACTGTATGATGCTTTCTAACAAAACCTATGGCGTGGAGTTGGCGTCTGGTTGTTGCTGCAACATGCCTCACTGGTTGAATCTAACACCCCCTCTTTCCGACCATGGCCACGAGCCTTTACAAGATAATCGAAAGAAAAATGTCTAAATTATATCATAATAAAATGGATTCAATAATTTCTAAAGCTTCTAATAAGAAACTGAAAGAATAATAATATAAGATTTTGAGAAAAGATTAGGAAAGAAAAGAAAGACTACTAGGCTACTAGGTTAAATTTTTCATTTTTTTATTATAAAATCATTTATTATTAGAAATATCTTTAATTATGTTAATATCAATTTAAATTTAATATCTAATCATATATTATTAAATGTTTGAAGATACGTTAAAATCTGGTGTTTACTTTCAAATTAAAAATTCATCATACTATAATAGCCTTTGAAAAAGTTTATTTTAATGCAAACATTTTAATATTTGAAATTTCATTAATATTTGAAATTTCATATCGTTTAAAAATACAATAATTCAACATGACAAGTACAGTATCATTTTACAACCTTTTTTACTTCTATATCCTGTTCTATATAATTTAAATAATTCATTTCAAAAACAGTTTTATATATCTATTTACCACATTCAAATGAGGTTCGAAATCCGAACTCTTCTTAACAGAGAGCAAGAAAGGTCTACATACATGAATAACAACTCATTTTTAAAAGCTTTTAATTATATCCTTTCAATTCCTAATTCTTTGTCTAACTTTTGTCCCTCAAAATTAGTCATGTAATGATTAAAACTCTTAAATCTCTTGACATTGCTAAGAAAAAAACCATATATTTTAACAGTCTTATCATTTTCATTTAGAAACTTTCTAAGTTTATAAGAATGTTAATATCAATTTTTTTAGACTTTAGCTATAAACTCTAAAATTAATCCAAATACATGTACTGACTTATTTCTTATATAAAATATTTAGATTTTATTCAAATTACATTAACACAAACACATTTTTTATAGTATGTTAGTTTAAGTTCTGTTTCTTTATTTTCAGAAATAGTTCATTCACTGCAAAATTATTCCTTTTTGCCATTGGAGTATAATTATCACTAACAGATGTGGAATAGTTCAGCTGTTGTAGAATTGATTATTGAGGTATTTCTGGTATTTATTATTCATACAAATTATGGAGATTTTACAACAATATTATGAAATATATATAACATAGGTCAATATAAGCCTACATTGCCAAACCTACTTCTTACATCATAGAATTCTGAATTTTTAAAAGCCCACGTCAAAATTGGCTTGTAATCATCATAAAGTTTTGATCAGATTTTTAGGAAACTTTGCATACATATAAAAATATATTTTGATGATGGGTTCCGCTTTCAAATTTGACTTATTCCCAAATCCAATGCATTAAGCTTATTAAGCTTAATTGGATCACAGATGTTTTGGATAGGTTTTACAGTGAAATTTTCTATAGATTGGGCAAATAACTTTTTTGGCAACTGCTCATTTTCATTTGAAAGAATTTAAACTGATCGCCAAACTAGTGAATGAACTATTTCAGGTTTTATGAATAAAAACAATTAATCACAATCAAATGTACAACTCAAATATCATAATTAAAACACATTCATTCTTCAAATTCATTTATTGTCACTTACACTCTTTCACTTTTCATTCCCTACATTTTTTCTCTTTCTTAAAAATCCTTTTATTCACATTTCTCTCAAACATCCAAGTCTCTTAATACATCAATCATGGCATCACATATATTTTTCTATTCACACAGAATCAGAATTCTGATTTCTCACACACTTCATCATTCTGTCACACACACATGATTTTGAATAATTCCTTTCTCTCACGCTATCAGTAAAAATAGTTTCATGCAATTTCCTACAAAATCACCAATTTCTCAGTAATGATATTCTAAAGTTTACCTGTCTAGTGTAACCCTGAGAACTTCCCATTGTTAAGTGGAATAAAAACCAACAATGATTTCCGTATTTGGCTGAAAGATTGAGCGATTTTTTTTTTGTGCTCTTGCTTTGAATGGAAATTTAAATCAAAAGTTTATTTTCCTTTTAAAACCAAACTTGGATATTGATATTATTTTTTTTGTAAAAGTTTTCAGTCAATTCAAATGATTTTTTTTAAAAAGAATGAGTAATCAAATGAAAAATACGAGTTTGAAATCATTGCTAGTTGGTTTATTGAACAGTTTCTTTGCTGAAAACATAACCACATGGTAGATATTTAGTTGTCAATCAAAGTATAAAAAAAAATGTACAGGTAGGGATATGTGCAACAACTAAATAGTAGCGCACTGATATGATATTTTGTCATGTTCTGAAAATTCTAAATTCAGACTGGCATCATTATCCCATAGGCTGAATAATTTTCTTGAATTTTGTTGTCCGATCAATTTGGAGCACCAAGACTTAATTTCAGTTCGAGTCCCTCCCCGACCCAGTCCCTTAAGGGCAAAGCACAAATGAGCAAAGCACCCACAAAAATTAATATACTTGTGCTCTTGTGAATTGCAAATGAAGTAAGCGAATATGAATAATTTAACAAATTGCTGCAGCCACAACATTCAGAGATAGTTACACCATCTACAGTTAAGCATCTACAGGCAGTGTACAATGATGCAAACATTAAGAAAATAGACAACATTCATCTAAAATAATAATTCTCTTGAAATAAGACTTCAAAAGAACAATTAAAAATTTTTCAGATATTTTTTGTACATTTTCTCAATAGTTGCATTTCAATCAATAGCCAATGAAATGGTGAATGAATGATTAAATTGAAATTTGTACCTCTGAAAAAAATTCTCATTTTAAATCAAATTTGTGAAAATCTTTTTTTCCCAATGTTTCAAAATAAATTTAGAATATTTCACCAAATCAAAAAAAAAAAAAAAAGTCAATAAGAATAAGAAACAAAGATAGTTCACAAATTTGATTTAAATGAAATGTGATTACTGATTGGTCAAGCATTTATTAGTTTTATTAGTAAGAGGTTAACATTAGTACAATTATTGTACAACAATATCATTTAAATATACATCCAAATATGGACATAAGAAATTGTGGTTCATGCACACGATTAGTTTTTGACCTAAAATACTGAAGTCTACAGAAAATATAACGAAAGCAAAATAATACAACTATCCACCAAAGAGATATTCAAAATTACAGTAAAAGCCACCGACATACTCAACTTTGGCTAGGCATAGCAATGGCGAGCAAATATCCAGCAAATAACTAAATATACTAGCAAAGTCTTACAATACACATGCATTACATCAACTTCACTTGAAGGAATAGCGACACTATTTTTCATAGAGAAAAAAGTACTACCATATCTGGAAATCCCCCCACATGCAAATTATTGTTATTAAGATAGTGGCAAATGTGCAGGCAAATGTTAAAGATAAAAACTATACCATTTTATGAGTTCATTCTGATATCCATGATTTGATTAAGCAAGCTAAACCTCTATCTGAACTATGATCAAATGTTGCTTAAGGCTTATCTATCTGAACTTAAAGAGATTTGGTTTGTTTTTGTAAATTTTGTTTGAAATAGCTGGTGATTTTATGTTAATTTTCTGGTATATTTTTGATTCAGACAGTTCAAATTGAAGTATTGTACAGTGAATACCAGAATGATCTATTAATGAACACAGTAGGAATTTGAACATACATGCTTCTTTGAGAACATTAAACTTTTTCTAGATTTTTTTTAGAAATACATGTCTAGTTGCTGCACACATCCCAAATATACAAATTGTATCAAGAAATTTGGGCTGTCATACTCAGGCTTATCAACCCATCTATAGAATTCATTTTATAACAAATTTGAAATCTCAGCAGAAATTGACCTACAATGCATTCAGACATTAAACAGATTTTGTGGTCAATTGTTTCTTGGTGGTTCCTATTTCATGGTTGACTTTCACATTGCGTCTGGAATAGAGCTCACTTGTCCAATGAGCATTCAGATTCTTGTTTTTAAAGTTCCAAAATAACAGTCATGAGCTCTAGTTCCATATGCAATGAAAAGACTAAATATTCCAATTCTCTTTCATTGTGTACAAAAATACTTCTGATTTATGTCCAAGTCAAGAGAATTCAAAACTTGACATCTTAGTGCCATTAAAAATGTTGTAAGACTCTTAAAAAAGAAGTATAATTGTTAAAGTCATGGAACCCGTACAGTACAAAATGATTCACTTTTCACACAAAATTCATATAAATTCTTTCACCCTCTTTCATACTGTATCATTTTATATACTGATGTTTTATCATTTGTTTTTTTATCTTTTAATTTCTGAATGAAATGCAGAACAAGTCAAATTTTAATTTAAACTAAAGTTTGTTCATTGGTTGCCACCCCCATCTAATACCACAAATCTGTCTTATTCTCAGAAATTTTCCAATGGACAGCAAATTTTTAAAGTTGTCTTTAAACATGAGTTGCTTCTATCAGGATTAAATTTTTAAATACTTAAAGCAATTTGACCAAATAAAAAAAAATAAAAATTAATAACCCATGTTTAAAGCATTTAGTATACTCAGAAAACTAGAGTTTTATAGTTGGATTGATATGGCTGTTACAATTTTGAATTTGGAGAGAAATTACTATGATAACTTACTATTTATCATTTTTTGAAACAAGATAACTTAAAAATGGAATTCGAAACATTGCCAAATTTGCCTGAATATGACTTAAATCCCGATTTTTTTAATTTCGGAAAAAGAAAAATATACTGAAAAGTGTGTCCTACCTGACTATCCAGACCAATTGTTAATAACATAAGGAAAAACAGAACGGCCCAAAGTGGACTGATTGGTAGTTTAGAAATGGCTTCTGGATAAGCAACAAATGTTAAACCAGGCCCTGAAAATAAAAGTATGAATTATTATACCCTGTTCTCAGTTAAATATGCTATCCAATTTCTCCTGAACAGATCATGTCTGCTTTTTTCTTTAAAACTGAACAGTTTGAAAAAAATTGATCAGGTCAGCTCTTTTCTCCTTTAAAACTAAAGAGTGTCACAGCAATAAAAAAAAACAACAAGACCCACCTTCAGTTACCACTTTATCCACACTAACACCAGCTTCATGAGCCATAAAACCAAGTACAGAGAAAATGACAAAACCAGCGAAGATACTAGTACCACAGTTAATGAATGGTACCATCATAGAATCTCTAAAAATAGATGAAAATACATATGTTAAGCATAATATAAGACAATACAGTCCACCATCTTCACAAAACTTTCTGAAAACTAGCAATTTCAATAGTATCTCACTAAAATAAAATGCTAAGAGATGAAAATAATGAATCTCGCCTTCATTCTTTGACCTCTTGACCTGTTTTTTTTTTTAATGGAAATAGACCTGAAAAACAAAAACAAAAATAGAAACCCATAACCCAAAGCACTTCTGCAAATAAGGAAGGGGGAAATCTTTCAAAGTTTGAAGAAAAGAACAACATTTCTTTAGAAAAGATCACAGATAGACAGCATCAGAACACTGGGCAGTATGCTTTTATGTGGGATCTGATATCCTAGGGCAGCATAAGTATAAAAGAAGACAAAAGAAGAAACCTTTCAGTTGTCTGCTACCAGTATTCAATATAAACAGTAGTTTATGGCATTTCCATTGTGAATTTTCTTCATTGAGAGCAAAGATTATAAATCAAAATATACAAACCTATAAACGTTATGACTAAATTTATTATAACTGGCCATGGTAACAATACCACCCCATCCCATACCAACAGAATAGAAAATTTGTAAGGCAGCATCTCCCCAAACCTGAATTATAACATGAAAAACTTTTCATTTACATAGGTCAAAGCATTTTTATTTGACTGAAAGGGAATCCTCACTGGTGGGTAAGAATTCCACTTGGACCTGATGGTAATGTTATGTATTTAGTTAAGGCTGTGTAGATTTCTTTAATGTAATTCAATGATCATACATGTATTAACTCCGTTTACAACTTTGATAGCATTGAAGCATAGCATGGGGGGGGTCAAGGGCATTTATTGTCCCGCTAAGTACATACCTAAGCACTAAGTTTCATATTGTCACATAAAGCTGATTTTTTGTTTATTAAGGTTATATTTTTTTTTTAGAATAAAAGAATTGTATTTGTTTTTTATTAGTTTAGTTCTGCTCCGTTCCCTATCATGACATTTTGTTGAAAGTAAAGTACTAAAGCAGGACATCATTAACACAGATCTAAAGTAATTACAGACATAATAGTCCTTGATCGTGTACATTTGGTACATTTTTTGCTTCAAGCATCAATGGTTTGAATCAAGAAAAACTTTATCAGAGTGTGACACCACTATTCTTATAAAATATATTTGGCCTTGACATCACATCACATACATACAAGGATGGTATTACTCAGCTTTTTTTTAATCTATTAAATACTAGTAGCCCTTCATTGAAATTTTTATTAGGGGTCACACTTCAGATACCTTGCATGCTTTCATCTTTGGCTATTAAACATTGAACATAAACCTACTTGAAAGTCAGCCAGTTTCTCCCATCTTGGTATAATATAGAATTTAATTCCTTCTAAAGCACCAGGTAAAGTTACACCACGAATTAACAGCACCAACAATACTAAATATGGGAAGGGAGCAGCGAAATGCATCACCTGAAAATTTCAATTAATCAATTGCTCTATTCTGAGTAATACTAAATAAAAAACTAGAGCCACTCGTGGCACAGAGTGGGACTTTGCAAATGTAGCAAAATGCAAAAGACACTGAAAAAAATCAACTTTCAACGATATTTACATCAAGCGCAAGAGCAGTCTAAAGTTACGCCATTTTTCTCTTCAGAAAGTTGTGAAAACGAAAGTAGAAGTCAGAAATGAAAGTGTCTGCGAATAGCCCATGTCAATGACTTTTGACCTTGTAAAGAGGAAGGTCAACAAAGGTCAATGTCAAAAATTGAAATTATGGAAACTCTAAAACCCGTTCCTTTTTTGCAACTATAAAGCTGAAACAAATGAGCTTTTAACAAAATCTGGCCAAAAGGATGATGTAATTGTGTGCAAAGTCCCTTTTTGAAAAAACGTAAACTATGCGAGTTATGCCCCTACCCCAGATTTAAACGATTTGCAGTTGAACCCGGATGTGCCACGCCCACATCAACTATTTTGTCATAGTTCTATTCATATTATAAATGTCTAGTAGTGATCCAAATTTCTAGATTCTAGATGAAATAGGTCATAAGATATACATAAACTAAGCTCAAAGAGACAAAAATATTGTGAAAAACATTCGAATTTTAAAAATATACGAATTTCAATTTGCTTTAAAAATAGGATTGTTATACATCGCTGGAAAGAGCATGAGATGCCCTTCAAGAATCCGAAAAAATTAACACTCTAGGTTATTTAGGTCACGTGCTGGAACAGTTCAAACTTGCGAATTTTGCTGTTTTCAGATACTCATAAAACCGGAAGTAGATATCGGATGTCAAATGTTAAAGCATCAAATGATAGCCAAGGTCATTGGCCTTTGACCCAATGAAGGTCAAGGTCATTAAAGGTCAAGGTCATGAGATATGAGCCTCCAAACTTCGAAAAAATTCAACCGGAAATTGCAAAAAAGCAAAAACGAAATTCAAAAATCGGCTTCCAAGCAATTTTGGGTAATCGATTGCAGTTAACAAATACATCAAAATTACTCACATCCATCTCTACCCTAAGGCCCCATTTTGAGTTTTACAAAAGTGTATCATATCAATATGGCGGCCAAAGTATGACTTCCGGTCCGGATTTTTTTTTCTTCGTTTTTTTTTTGTCTTAAAAATGACTACTGATCAGCATACATTTTGTTGAGATATATCAATTACACCGGAAGCTATTCAACCGGAAGTCAAAATCGTTTTCACGAGTTAGCCGGAAGTGATACAAAAATTTTGATTAAACCATTTTTTTTATTTTGGCGAGTTGCCTACACCCATAAATTTTAAGATCAATTGGCGAAAAAAGTCAAAAATTGCAAAATTCGACTGAAAAAAGTGTGCTACGAATTTTCGAATTTCGAATTTTTTGTACTGCTATCAGTTCGGATATTCTTTGTAGATTACAAAAATGAAAACCCGAAGAAAATCGACTGAAATTTGCAACTTCTACAGCCCATTTTGTATTTTTTGCACATGTTTCAAAGTAGATTGTACTTTCAATTGATTCCAACTTTAAAACCGGAAGTGGCGTCAAAAGTCTGACTGTATCATATCATTTACTTTAGTGATGTCTCTTTGCATTTTAAATTTCAGATCAATCGATGCAAAAACAAAAAAGTTGCAAAAAAATTGCAAAATTCAATCGAAAAAAGTTTGCGACAAATTTTCGAATTTCGTAATTTTTTAAGTGCTATCTGATCAGAAATTCCAGCCAGATTTTAAAACTGAAAACCCGAAGAAAATCGATGCAAAAATGCGCCTTCTAGAGCCAATTTACCAGTTTTTGCATATGTTGCACTGTGGCACTTAGGTTTTTTGCAAAAATGTTCTAATTTATATTCATTTTAAACGTTGCCACTGCAGAAGGTTTACACATGTAGAAATGTTGATGTAGCTATTGAAGCCTAGGCTGTGTGCCCTGTGGAAATTTCGAAAAAAAAAAAAAAAAAAAAAAAAAGAATTGACAATATGATAACAAACTGGGACTTTGCAGTAGCAAAGTCCAACAATTAAGCTTTCCAAAAAAAAAAAAATTGGGTTACTCAGGCATGGACACAGCCAGGTATAAAGGTCACCTGATGAAACAGTATCTTCAGATAATTGCAGTCATCGTTGTTGACATAGGAAGACTTCTTCTGATAATAATAGAAAAATGTTACAGATGTATTTTGTAGGCCTGTGTTGTAAATTCTAATTGATACATACCTTTCCTAAAACTTTAACACCTTTAAACAAACATAAAAAGACTAAAACCCAGGACATAGCTAAGGCGATTAATAACTGCCATCTAATTGGTCCTAAATCTTCAATTCCATCACTCAATTCTAATACATGATGTCTGTAATAGACAAACAGAATAATAAGCACAAATTTCAAATGTACATAATATTACTTGTTTATGACCTGGTACACAATATGGATGAAATCTAAGATTTTAATCATTTCCAAACTCAGTAAAATAATTGTCATGTAAGCAATTATTTACATGCATGGGCTCCACCTTAATCTCCATTTTTCTATTGTATCTGGAAGTCTAATATTTATTTTTTCTATTGTATCTGGAAGTCTAATATTTATTTTTTCTGAAGTCTAATATTTATTTTTTCTATTGTATCTGGAAGTCTAATATTTATTTTTTCTATTGTATCTGGAAGTCTAATATTTATTTTTTCTATTGTATCTGGAAGTCTAATATTTATGTCTAAGTGTATCTAAAAAAAAATTAAAATGAGTCCCAGTCTCTTCAAAAATATATTCATTTAAAGTTGGTAAAATTATACATGTACGTCTAAATCACTTGAAATTATTATTTTAAATATCTTCCTTTTCTCTATTTTCATTGTGTGAAATGGTTGAAGATGCCATTTGACATTCAGAATTAATGAAGATATCTCAATAAATCAGAAGACATAGCCTAGAGTGTTGTGGCCTTTGATACTAAGACGGTTAACAAATGTAGCTATAAAATTGTTAGTATTAATCCAATAAATGTCACAGTCGAATGCCTTTCAAATTGTAGGATGTTCAACTTTTTAAGATGTTGAAAGGACATGAGAGCACAATAGCTTTTTATAAGGTTCTCACATATATAAAATGGAACATTAACCCAAAGAAATCATCAGTATAAAAAAGACAACTGACTGTGTCTCTCAGACTCCTATTTCGTCTCTTTATTTCCTCACTGTCACATATCTCATAGACTTTAGAGATATTTATAATTCTTTAGATTACATACATATCTTATTTCTAGATAGGACAATAGGATATAATAACCGGCAAAAAATACCGTTAATGAAAAAATTGACAATAAGAAAAGACAACGTCATGAATATCTAATTATGCACAATTCTAGAAATTCTCTAAGTCATAATATCTTGTCTTGTCTTTTCTAGAGGTTTTAATGTATTTGTCCATTATAAATTAGTCAGTTTCATAATAATTACAGTCGGTGAAACTGTACTTTTTAGAATAACTATCTATTACTTACTCTTAAGTTTCTATTTAAGATTTCATAGCCTTTCTTACTCAAATAAAAGCACCAAATTATTTCAGATAATTCCAAAGTTCTTATGGTGCTTGAATTGGTGCCAATAATTCAATTTAGCAAATACAAATTAACTATATAGGGCTATAATTATATAATGGCCTAACCTCTTGAGCACTTTTAAGTACTTACGTCCGTGGTATAATTCAATAAGCCAATCTTCTTAAAAATTAGGTCAATTACCAACAATAGACGAAGCACAAAGTGAATAATTTTCATCATTACTTATCATCAAAATAAAATGTCTTGACAACACACAAATATCAATACAACTCAATGATTTTCATCTTTTTTCAGAGAGTCAAACAAAATCTGTGTCAATATGTATTTATTTAAGAAGGTAAATCAAGGAAAGAGAAAAATCTTCAACTTTTTGACTATTCATTATTCATATCAAGTAAATATATTTCTGAATCTGTGAGAATGAGAAAATGTAAAATTATGACGAACAGTATTTAAAAATCAGTCACAACATTTTTCAGAGTTATTTTTTTCCAAAGCAGACAAAATTCGAACATCATTGGTATTGATTCATAATGACACATTGTATATCATCTCTCTGAAAAGCTTTTAAAAAGATAAACTCTAAATTTTACTTACGTCCAGTATTCTTCACTAGCTGAAATGTTTCCTGGTTCTCGTAGGGTATTGTTGACAAAGAAATAAGACAGATTGGTATTGGTGAAATTCTCATACATATTACTACCTATAGTGCTGTTAGACAATTCAGCAAACATCTCTGATCTCTGTTGATCAATACAGTTTATGGTATTCCAATCATTGTTACAATGACTCCATGGTAGTACTGATTGGAATGACATCACTAGGTAGTAGAGAGTCCACGCTATGATTACATTATAGTAGATACATACTATAGACGATACTAGTACCATACCAATACCAATTCCTGGAATAACAAGCAGACAATGTTATAATTAAGCTACATTGTTTTTGAAAAAATTTGCTTACAAAGTCTATCGAAAGTTTGATTTTTGTTAAAAAATGGAAAAAAGGACTAGAAGTGAAGACTGCCAATATCAGGTGTATATTGAAGAATTAGAAATGAAGTCAGGTAATATCAGGAGTATATTGAAGAATTGGAAAATGAAGTCAGGTAATATCAGGAGTATATTGAAGAATTGGAAAATGAAGTCAGGTAATATCAGGTGTATATTGAAGAATTGGAAATGAAGTCAGCCTTAATCAGGTAATATCACATGCAGTCATGAAGTTCTGTGTGTATAAGAGGTTCAAAATGAAGTCAGATAGTGTTGTGTGTATATTGAGGGATTGAAAGTCTGGTAATATCAGGTGAAACTAAATTATTGGAAATGAAGTCAGGTATATAGTATAAGGAATAAAGTCAAATGGTAGTATTATGTGAATATTGAAGACTTTAAAAACATAGTTTATTTCATTGGAATTAAAATATAAATAAAACTGAAATGAGCAAGAGATTTTATCAATTATCATCAGAAGTCTACCATCTGTAATCTAATTGAGTTGATGCCAACAGATATTACCTATTGTCATCACATATCATTCCAAACTATAAAATATTACATGCTACAGTACAATAGTATCTGATATTTCATTATTAGTTATGACAATTACTAGTTTAGATAGTATATATTTATATCGTATTGTAGTTTCACTCTAATGGTCTCAGTACAACAATCTTCAATTCTATAGGTTTTTTGAGAAATTATTTCCAATGATTCTAATGAGATCTCATGCTGGTCTTAACAAATCAAGAAACATTAAGGAATTAAACAATATGATTTAGTATTGTATGCTTGAAAATTTATTTACAAGTTTCCCCTGTGTAAAGACCCCCTTTAAAGCATCAAAGCAGTTGATGTCATATTGTCAACTTTGATATTAAGTTATTCACATTTCCTCAAACCATTCTTTGATTACGAACTGTTTGAAAAGGTAACTTATAACACATTTTGCGTGATTGATAATGCAACTTCGAAAATATTTGTATCACTTTTATCATTTTTAGCCTACATATCGTGACATGTCTCCATATGTGACATAATTAATGGTTAGAGAGAGGAATATGATCATCAGGAACAGAAGAAAAACTACGCAGTTAGCCAATAATCAATATTTCAAGACTTTATATATTCAATATACACGTAAATTGTTTTTTTTATCTGATGAATTCAGTTTTTTGCTTACAAAATTCATCAAATCACACTCCAGGGGAATGATAATGATGAATTATGAAAACTTAACATATATCAACTTGAAGTATTTTTGTTTCAGTCCTTCTAAGTATCTGATTTCTCACATTGTACTCTTTTAAATTGTATTATTTCATACATCAAACATGTACAAAAAATTAAAAAATATCTGGTTAAAATGTATAAATTTTAAAAACAATTTTAAGTTATGCATGTTTTTATTCTTTTATATTCTTTATAATTTGATATTACAAGAATGACGTACGAGATAGAATTTCTATTATTGTAAATGAATATTCAAGTAAGAAAAAATATATTGACATTATTTTGTTCATGTCTGAACGTGTTATAAAAAATACACATTCCCCCATTTGTCTTATATGTGACAAGCTGGGTATAGTCAAGTCATTCTACCGTTAGTCACTTTTTGAATACTTTTAGATACAGTAAGGTTTAATATTTCTCCCAAACATTCTTCATTGTTCATGTTTTCACCAATAAAGTTTTGTTAGAAGCCGGTTTCTTATCCTTAGTCACTCCACAAACCAGTATATAGAATTTGGCTCAATATTTCCTATAACCCTCAATTTTGTAGCTTTTTTGTTCACTACTTGCCCTGCTTCCATAGTCACATTAGATTGCAGAGATCCAAACACCAGTATAAAGACTTAATATTTCCCCAAATATTCTTAGCTTCATTGTTCAATATTTTCACAGGGTTTGTAAAAAAAAAAAAAAAAAAAAAAAAAAAAAAAAAAAAAACCCTTTTCTATAACATTCTCTGTGTTAGATCATAAGTAGTATAGAAGTATAAAGTGCGTAGATATGAATGTACGGTCTTGACAAAAACATTGTAAAACCTGAATGATTCATTGAAGCAGACGTCAGTACACCAGACACTATTAGTTTCTTCTCCTGTGTCTGAATGACATAAAATTTCCACTGACCTTAAAGAAACCAGTTCACGGATGTATAACTGAATGTTAAACATATTGAGTTATATTAACTACCAAGTTTCAAATCCTCCTGTTTTGAGTTTATGCAATTAACGAGGTAATTTTATTTTTTTAGCTTAAAAACTAGAGTTTGTTGCTTTGCTTCTCTGGTAGGTTTTGAGAAAACAATTATGGAGATGAACATAAATTTGGATACTCTTAAATCAAATAATTAAAAATGATCAAACTTTAAATACCAAGTTGTATAACAGATCAATTATATACAATTTTTGTCAATTCATGTTTGTAATATCTGCCCAGCAATCAGTTGTCTTCTTGACACACAAAGATTTAAAAATTTTACAGTGCGGCTCATTCAGTAACAAAACCATGAAAATTTTACATTAACTTTATACTTTGTATGCAAATATGGACATGAAATGTTTTTTTCAATCCTTTTCACTGACAGTAGTGATGAAGTAACTTAGCATGTTTGTTCCAATTCATTAAAATATTTCACAAAATAGAGAATAATTAACAGCATATGACATTTGGTAATTATCCTTCAATTTTGACATTTCATTTTCTTTCATGACATTTCATACAATCATAATTATGAAAACGTTATATTTCTTCTGAAGTTTAAATCAGATATATTTTTATGTATGACACATTATCTATTTCTAAAAGCCTGATTTAATTTGAAACAGCCTTTAAAACATTAGATAACATGAAAATATTCAACCTTAATGTCTTAAAAATTTGAAAAGCTGTTAAATATTCTGTAAAGAATATCATACTTTTGTTAAATCTAACATTTAGCTAATTAAAGTTTAGATAAATTTATGTAAATAAATGTAAGATAAATAATGAGAAAGTACTAAGTTTATTATAATGCAGTGGAAATCTGAGGCATATAAAAATGCAGTGTAAAAGTTCAGATAAATAATGCAGTATAAAAGTTCAGATAAATAATGAAGTGTAAAAGTTCAAATAAATAATGAAGTGTAAAAGTTCAGATAACTAATGAAGTGTAAAAGTTCAGATAACTAATGAAGTGTAAAAGTTCAAATAAATAATGAATTGTAAAAGTTCAATAAAAAATGGAGTGTGAAAGTTCAGATAAATAATGCAAAGGATATATTAATGTGGCTACTTTAAAAAAAATGGAAAACTTCTCAAATTGTACCTGTCTTTGGTTAGAATTACAGATAGATTTGTTGACTTTATTTTCAAGTACAGGTGTGTTTTTTCTCAAAAATATTTGGCAGTGATAGTAAATGTCAATTGTGGGAAAAATTAACATGTGACAAAATCATGATGGAATTTTTTATCTTTCGGCAACCATTAACCTTGTAACATTTCTTCTTTTATCTCAAACATTGTTTGTCAAATTTGACAAGATTTGTACACTGAGTTATTTGACAATTAAATGCACAGATTTCCTTGTTTTAGTGACTTGAAATTTTCCGATGAATAACCCAAGCTTAGTTCATCATATAACAAATTTTAGATTTTTTTCTTACACTTTTCTTGTTTGAATTTTTATTTTTGACTTCACAGAATTTTCTTATTTCTAGGTACTTTTGTACACAGAACCTCTTTGTTGTCATGGAACTTTTTAATTAACTTTCTTCTTGAATTTGCATCAGTTAAGAATTTTTTGTGAAAGAAAATAGGTCTTAATAATGCTTAAATATGAATATCAATTTCACAGCTTAAACTTTGGGTTGATTTAAAAAATTTTTGGTCGTTATTTTTGCTATCTATGAAATCAATGAAACATATGGTGTGACAATTTTTCACACACTTACTGACGTATAAATTTCTGATAAATTGAATAACTACATCTGTCAACATTTATATTGATTATATATTATTCACCTCAAAAACTTGTCAACTTTATTTCAAATAGCCAACCAGCCAGCCAGCAATTCTTTATTTTCCTATATAGACTTACAGTCATTAAAGTACAAATTGGTTGGGTTGGGTAGATTTACATGAAGCAAGGTAGCTTGATTTAAGGGATGTATGAACAGAGAGCAACTTTTAGACTTTTTTTTTTCAATCAATGTCACTATGAGTTTGTGTGAATTAAGTTCGATTAGACTTACATTATAGGCCTACATCACCCAGATTTTACTTACTTAACTGGTAAACTGTGTAATGAGATATGACTATCTAAATATTGATAAATCTACTTTTGAAGTAGGGCAGACATATTTTTTTTTTGAATGCATTAACGCTTTTGGAGTGGTATGTATGCATATTGAATGAGAAGGGAATAAAGAATGGCTAACATTTTTCACCTTTATCAAAATCATTCTAAAAATAGGACTCTTTGTAGTAGCATAACTTGTTCAAGTCATATGACAGTGGCAGCTTGTGTTTATGAACAGAGGTAAAAATAAATCAATAGTTAACCTCCTTTGTTATCAGTATCTTTACTTCTTGACTCACCTTTAAATAATGGACTCATCCGCCACACAGCCACTGGACTCAAGCTAGAGAACTGACCATAAGAGACCTCAAGAAAAAAAACAGGAATACCACACAATACTAAGAAAATGGTGTACGGGATGAAGAATGCACCTGAAAAGAGAAGACAAAGGTATTTTGAAATACAAGCTTACAGACAATGAAATTGCTGTTTTGTTAAACTCAACCAGTCTTGTCTGGCTGGATACCATTAATCTGAATTCTACAATCACTAGTTTATCTTTTTCTGAAAGATGTTTGGACAGATTCTTTAAGTTCCAGATTTTTTTCATTTTCAAAATTTAGCCGACAAATGAAATAATAAAATCTTTTATCTTTGGTGATCTTTTGTCTTACAATTTCCTTCACATCAAGTTAAAAATGAAAAGTGAATTCCATCTTAAGATTTATCAAAAGATCTAGATTTATGTATAAAATATTTTAGAAATTCTTTGTTTTCTTGTCACCTGATGTAAAATGTGTTATTTGATAAATATTGATTAATGTAAACAAAGAAAAGTATGGTCTCCGTGACAACAGACCACAATGATAGAGATACTGTTAGAATTGATCTGGTATCAATTGATAAATTGCTATATGAAGATAAATCATTTGGTTTTAAATCAAAATCAGTTTTGATTAACGAACATTAACTTTACCATCAAATTAATTACAAATTCACATATAAAGAATAATTCCCAAGTGGCTTTTTATCAGTACTATACATTTATTCATGCAAGAAGTACACTGACACTTTTGCACTAACCAGTAAAAAATCCAGAGGGGGGTGTATTCATTAAGGCTGCACAGTTTGCAGAATTTTGAATAGAAATAGTTGAATGTACAGTGAGACTTATTGCGAGTACACAATACACAATAGAATCAATTATATGCATTATTAATATTAATTGTATGTTCACAAATAAATATGAAATTAACTATCAAATGGTATGTTTTTTAGACAGTGGGTGGCATTGAATATGACAGACATCTGAATGTAGGCATAGAATACACACTTTAATGTGAACTTTTCAGTTGCTATGATAGTTATACAATATCAAATTTATCAAATTTAAATCAGAGGTATGGTTTGTACACAATTGTTACATCAGCATATTCAATGTAAATTACATTATGAAATATTCTGTGCCCTTGAGTATATTGAAATTATTCCTCTAATAAGATCGCAGTTTTCAATGTGCAACAAAAATGCAGTCGCACTGTACTTTCATATGTTTTGTATACATAAAAATTTAGATGCTATTATTTATAAACTTTCGAAGATCTAACCAATTAAATGCTATGCAGCCCAAATGACCTACATGTTCAAGTCAAATGACTATCAAATAATTCTATTTGTTATACTTTATAGTAGTACAGCCTGTCCAGCTATACCAGTTTTTCTGACATTTTTCACAAAAATTAATTGTTAGATGTAATAGAAATTTAAGTGATATTTTAGTCCAAGGCAGACTTCAACCTTTTACAACATAATTATCATTTTATCATTTTTCAGATTTTGGTTACAGATAAACAAAATATGTTTCCTATGTCTATGTAACTATTTGTTTCAGAAAATAGTTTTTGTTTTCTTATTGTTCTCACAAGTACCTGATATACATTATATCAAAATAATTTCGCCACTTTCTTTCTGCACATAACAGTAATTGGTGTTGCTGAATTCTGATACAAACAAATCACTGAGAAGTTAGATTTACAATTTGTGGCTTAACTACTATGTTTTGGCCAGAGCTATCCCCATTCCTAATGTTTCTACTAAGTAAACATGTTCTAAGGATGAATTCTACACATAGCATAAACAGTTGCCATAGTTCTTTTCAATTCAATCAAAGAGACTGGATAATTGTATAATGTGTTTTCTATAGCTGACTGGTGTAAGATGAGAATGTAATGTACTGATAGCAGACTTGAAGATAATATTATCATAAAATATTTGTTTCTCTTGGCATGCTTGGTATCAATAATGAACTATTTCTGCATATCAAATATTTTTCCTTCTTCAACAAAATATGAAGACTTTCTTTATCTTCTGTTTTCTTCCCACTCACATAGTTTATTTAAATCTAATAAAGAACTTGTATTGAAATATATTAAGTCATCATCAAAAACCTGAAATCCATCAGCTAACAAATTTGCAACAAGGGAGACAGAGTATCAAGACAACATATGGAATAATGTTTGATGCCTGTGACATTAATAGCAGCAAACCACTGTGACTGTATGTTATGGTATAATTTCTCAGTTCACATCTAAATATATATCTTGTAGACCTCCAACAACAATCTTTTCTATGTAAGACAAGTAATAACTTCTGTTTATAAATCTAAAACAAATTCATTACCATATTGTGTTTCATACCTATCACAATTGTCTACCAGTTCATGCTATGAGCCAATAAATATCTTATACAATATGAAACCAATTTTCCATTAACATCGCAAGTCTATCATGGTTGAACAATATGTACTAATATTAAGAAATAGTCTTGTGTAAGTACGTAATTGTAATATGCAATTTACAATCAAACCCCTTATCAAAGACAGGAAATGCATTAAGAAACCAATATGTTGTGAATTATATTCTACAATCAAACATAAAAAGGTCATTCTCCTCGTAAAATGCACAGATAACACACAGATAACACACAGGGGAACAAATGATGCTAAGAGCATTTTTCAATAAAACTAGTGCCAAAAAAATGTTACAAAGAATAAAGGTAAATTTTTGTGTCTTATATTTAGTGATAGTATATATCAGACTTATTAGCACCAAAACAAATCAATAAGGTTTCAAGATTTTGGTGCAAAAAAGTCTATTAGTTTATCAAACAAACCAATGCCAAGAAACAGTCAGTACCCTTATACAAAATATTTCTTTAATAAGATAATTATTTCCAATTATTACACATTCTATCTCAATTTCAGAAAACTGCGTAATAACAATTTATCTCTGATCTAGTACAAAAAGGCAAATTCTCAGACAAAATTCTCTGATGTCAAAGATAAAGAAGATATTTTGTTCCATAAGATAAAAGAACAATATCATTTTTTTTTTTTTTTTTAAACAACTCCCTTGTTGATCATGGCAAGTATCATAACAGTGACATTGAATAATGTGAAAAATCTACAATTTACTATGATTATTTTTTTTAGGACAGATAATGTTTATAATTTCAGATCTAATCAGACAAAACACGAAATGAAGGCGAATCAGAAAACTTTCATAACCATAGTTTTTTTTATAAATTTAGGCCTTCTGCCATTAAAGGTTTATACAGATCTACATACAGATCACATGACTTATCTGTTAATAAATGTATGCAGTAACATAATATAACAGATGTTAGCATATTAATTATTGGCACTCACTTTGCATGGTTACAAAAGCTATATTAGCACCTCAATGAAAATATCAAGAAGGCATAGTTACTTTGTCAACTACATACTTTCATGCTAATATAGCATCAGGGTACGTTTCGGCAAAAAATCTGAATAAAAATTTGTCTTGTGACGAGTTTTACATCTAAAAAGACATTGTCACATCATAGACAAAACTTGAGACATGTTCTTAATCAAATTGGAGCATTAAATGGGTATTCAATGAGCTTAATAATGAGTTTATAAGCTGTAATATAAGTTATATATATATATAAGTAATACAAGTTGAGAGTATTTGATCATATCTAGGTAGTTATATGAATCTCTGAACACTTGAATACATGTAACATACAATATTGATATAAAGGCCAACTTCAGAAAATATCGTATATAATTTCAATCATAAATCCCATGTTTTATTGAAATATCCCTCCCTCTCTGTAAATATTGTGTTAGCATTAAATTTACAATGAACCAGGGCTCTTGCCTTCAGATATATATTGCCAGACATTCTACCAGCTAAATGTAGATTCATTACAAATTTTTGTTCATGAATTTCTAAAAAATATCTCAGAAAAATTTTTGTCATTTCTATAAGAATCTCCATAAAAATCTAAATCAAATACAAACATTTTTAAGCTTAGTAAAAACCTGACTGAAAAATAGGTCTGCAATCAACAGACATCACACTTTCTCGATAAATAGTTTTACTGCCATGCTAAGGTATGAATATCTGTTTAAGCATCCACAGACAGATAGTTAGTTTCAAATTGAACTTGACTGGCAAGTTACACGCATATCAAAACCCCTGTTAGTAAACATTGTCACTTCAAAATCAGATTACAAGTATCATATATTAAACACTAGTTGTGTATTTGAATAATAAAATCTTGATAAAAACAAGATAACTAAGATTATATCTAGTTTCTCTGATTTATCTTCAAGATTTGGTTTATTTGTCACGCCTTAACTAAATCTCCCTCAGGTCAAGATTGTGAAAATTACGATAACTATTTCAAACAGTTTCCATAAAGCTAGATTTCAGAAAATCTGAAATTTTTTGATTTTTGTAAATGTTACAATATATAGTCAATGTTTTCATAAAGTTAGTTGTTATCAAATTTTTTTGTCTTCAAACCATAATTACATTTCAAAATGTTTCCTTTAAGCTAAGTTTCAGAAAATATCCAGTGTTGTGGTGTCAGTATATATGGATAAAAGTTCATGGATATCCTTATCCTTAGTGACTGCAAACTTTTGTGGTTATTCTGTCTCTGGATTCTGGCCTTTGTCACACCTTGAAATTCAAGATGGATAAACACGGTAATCAGGAGATAAGGATAGCAATCCAAATTTCAAGATAACATAATCAAAGACTTTGATATTGATATTAGCTATCAAGTTTTAATGTTGAAGACTCTCCAACTTTAAGAATATTGACTTTTATTATTAAAGGTGACCTCTATGGATAATCTGAGTCAGAAGATTACTGTTTTGTTAACCATTGTTTACCATCTGAGAGAGGTGATGAATTGTCAGTTTGACATCTGGACAACAGATTACCTACTTTACATAAATTAAAGGGACAGATTATGATTTCACAATTTGAAAGGTGCGTCTGAATTATGCTATTTTTTATCAAGTTGGCTTGATTCCTTAAGACAGCACAATATTAACAACTAAATGTGCAATAGTGCAATGCATGGATATAGACAACACTGTCACTTTGAGACGCCCTTGACATTATGTATCTATCCATATTCTTGCATCAACTCTGAAAATACCTTTGCACTAATAAAAATTTCACAGCATAGTGATTGGTCAGGTTTTTTTTAACTCAAAGATCAAGGTCACTATATATAACTGATGATTTATCATATAAAAATTTATGCTAATGAAAACAATGTAAGACAGTACCTATTTAGTATATATAGTAGCCTGGCCCTATCATTATATAAAAATTCTACTTAACCTACTTCTTCTATAAATCAGGTTAAATATGTTTTTAGCTGCCAGGGATTGGTTCCTTAAACTTGTATTATAAATACAATACCTTTTATTCTATGTGTCTTGTAAGTTTCTTTCAGAACTTATCAAATTCTATAGAAATGTTGTCATATATTCTACCCAACTGACATATCTTATTTTAATCTTTCATTTTCATACAAGGTAAAATAATGTCCATACTGGTTATGAATTTTAATTATCAATAATTCTAGTTTAGTTTGAGGAGCTGGAAAATATCATTAGGAATAGATACTAGTTCAACCTTGAGAAACCTATAAAAATGCAATTTCTAAAAGCTTTCATGTTAAGCTCAAAGCTTGGCACAATCCATCTCTCACAGATCTTTCTCTTTCAATCCAATAAAGATAAAAGGAACATGTACACATCCTAATTAGGCTAATTACCCAGGTGGGTAACAGAGATATAGTAAGATCACATTTCTATATATTAATTACATTATAGATATTTATACATAAATTATATAAACTTCTTATTCAGTTTGCAGATTTGCAGACTTCAAGTGTAAAATTGAAATTAAGCTCTATCAGCTGCAAATAGATTTGAAAGTATCCCTTAAAGTCCCAACTCTAATCTTGAAACAGACCATATGACTGCACAATGTATTCAACTGCTGTTGTTCTGGTACTTCTTTTGATAAAAAAAAAGCTTTTTTTTTTGTTCTTATTTCTGCATGTCATCACTCATGATCACTACAGAATGTTACATTTTCTTTTAGTTGAAGTCTGTCAGAATCATGAAACTAATCAATGTAGTTAATTAATCTAATGACCATCTTGATAGGATATCTCAATAACCTGATAATAATTATAATCCAGATTGAAGATTCCAGGAACACCACTACAGGGTGGACTGGCATCACTTCATGGTGCTAGTATCTGTCCCTGTCAGCAAACATTTTTTAGTCTTAGAAACACATTCTCTACTCTGCAGTAAAGAGGCAGTGTTGATAAAACACTATGATAATGGAAGAATTCTTGATTTCAGAAAAGATGTTGTTTTAATTATGGATGGTTGAAACATTACATAATACCAGAATGCAAACCTGAGGGTACAAGATATCAAACTAAAATGTTTGTTTTCAGATAAGATATGTAATATTTCAAAAAAAATTTTTAATGAAACTTTAACACATGTCAAATTCACCTTATTATATCGGTGAATGAAAGATCAAAACCCTATGCCTGCACTTGAAATCTGGTGTTCCATTTTTTAAATCTATTAAATTTAAGGTGGAGATGGATGAGATGTAGTGTAAGTTGTAGTGTACAATGCTGTATTATTGATGCAGTAGAAAATAAGTGAATCATATTCAGTTACGCCCAAATCTGTACCTTGTGTTATCTCTCCTTCTCTATATTCTACTGTATCAACAGTCTAGCAATAAACACTGTAAAATGTCCAGTAATGGTTATAGCTTGAAGATTATATTTCTAACAATTTTTAACAAGAATAAAGATATTCAACAATGGTTTGGCTCCAATTACAATATTGTAAGGACATTGAATGACTACACACCACAGTGAGCACCCCCTCCTAATTTTTTCAAATCGTTTCATTTAATAATTCAAAGAAATTAATTTTGTAATAAGTATTTTCACAATTGAAACTTGTGTTTTAGTTAACACAAATATAAATTATAGGTGTTAAGAATACATAATAGAAACTGAAACTGTGAAATAACACAAAAATAAGGAAATTAAAGCAAAAGGCGTTATACAGTTATAGCCCTACAATAGTCTTCTCTTGGTATTGAATTGAATAATTTCTAGCATGTTCTTTTGGTTTAAATGTACTTTAGAGAAAACAAGTAAAGTAATGCTGTTTTTACATTTAGAATTCTCAAGTGGTTTTAAATAATTTGAAAAGACAAGCTGAACTTTCAAACTTAGCAGTAGAGAAAAAAGTATTGACATTTACACAATTGGAATGTTTTCAGCTCCTCTAAGATTTATTTTGACTAGAACAGTTGAATCTTTGTAGGAGGGCCATGGCAAGCACTACATACTATAAAACATGAGATTTTTAATTTGAATAATAAATATCAAGTGAAGTCATGGAAGAAATAACACCTGAATTTGGCAGACAGTATACTAGTAATTAATAACAATGTTTTATCTATCTGATATCACCTAAATCAGCCAAATTCTCATTAGTAATCATACAGATTTAATAAACACAGAATACCATGGGATTAACCAAGAATTCAACTAATGAACCAAACCATCATTGCCAATTTGTCTCTAAGCTGATGGTACCTTTATGTTTGTTACCTTAATAATTACAGACCAACAATAGGAAAACCAGAAATAGCAGACACAGTAGATAACAAACCAGATTTAACCAGTTGAACAAACAACAACATTACATCGGTCATTAACATACCAATACTCTCCCAACAAAAATACTTCTGAATCAAACATTTGCACAACTGCAGAAATATTTTTAGTGTTTCTTTTCAACAGGGGCACGTGCTCACAAGTTTGTGTGAAAGTTGAGACTGGGATAATTTGTCACCATTTTTATGTCTAAACAACTGCGATACTTGATGCAAGTTAAAAATCACTTTCAACACTTGAAAATTTATCAAGAGGTTAATGGCTAATGCAGATATGGTGGTAATCACACATTGTAAACAAACAATACACAGTGACCTGACACTATATCCTTGAATTAACCTACTTTTGTTTGGATGAAAATAAGTCAAAATAACAAGTTAAACATAAATAGATAAGTCATAAACTACTAAGCTAAACATGGTGACCGAATAAGATTTGAAAAACAGAAAACGCTGTGACCCTATACAACTTTTTTGTAAGAAAAAATTCATCAAAATTTTAGCAGGAGCCCTTACCAAATTTTACATGACCCAACTTAATCTCTACCTTATGTGACACAATTCTAGGCTGTCCAATTCCTATTGGTTAACATATATTTATCTTAAATAATATCAGGTAGCAGATGGTAACAGTTAGTCACTAGTTATATTATTTCAATGGCTTCAATTTTCAATGTATATCATATTACAGAAAACCAAATATGGAATGAATTCTTAGGTACAATGCACAAGCCTTCAGATGTATGCTACTGCCACTGTCCTCACAAAAATGCATCAACTATAGGCTTTTAGCAATATTCATATATGAAGTATGAATAAGATAAAGCTCAATGTAATTCTGAAATTCTCTATGTCTTAAGGTTTGCAGACACCTCTGAATTGCAACTCAAATAATATTTGATTGAAATAAATAAAACTATTTAATTCAAATATAAAAATTTAACCATGACATTTGTAATGAAATGACCTGAAATTTGAACTTGAAATTTGAAAATATGTAAGTAATGAGTTTTCTAGAAAAAAACAAACAAGATAAATATTTGAAACATACTAACAAAAGTTTAATATATATCTTAAACATGTACAACATCACATTTTGAACGACTGCCAAATATAATTATCCCTGCCCATAACCCTTGTGCTCTTATACAAGATTGTGTAAATGTTACCATGTGAGAGGTAGACAGCAAGGGGATGCATTATGTCTGGCTTTATTTCTGTAAATATCAAGTGTCATCAAGTTCTAGTCTCTGCAGGTTGTCTAACTTCCATTTTTGTTTACATTGTAAAACTATTTACAAGGAAATTTGTACTTTTAATAATTAGGACATACTGTAGTAAATTTACCAAAACCGCTTTTTATTTAGCATGGCATGAGTGTGATTTTTTGCTGATGTATCAGTAATACATCAAAACATAGGAATTTGTGAATAAAATAAAACCTACCTCCACCAGATTTGTAGCATAGATATGGAAACCTCCAAATATTTCCTAACCCAACAGCATAACCAATACAGGTCAGGATGAAATCCATCTTTCCTCCCCAATTTTCTCTCTGCTTCATTTCGGTATTATTTTTTGGTTTCTTCAAATCATCAACACTGTCAGAATTACTGGATGTACTAACACTCAGAGCATCCATTTTCTGCAAAATAAATTCACAATAAAACTTACTTTGGATTAATAACAGAAGCAAATACATTAAGGGACAATTTCAGTCAGATGAAAATTGTAGAAACAATACTTCAATTTGTTTGATTTCAAAATGCAATGGTCTCACATCATTACGCCAAGATTCCATATATGGATCATGCGGATCCGTCATGCGTTAAAAATCGAAATGGTTGGTTTAAGAGGGTGCGATTCCATATATGCGGAAGCGTTATCCAACCAAGTGGTATCCGTCATGCGTCAAAAAAAAATCATGCGGAGATCTCCCAAATGTGACATATTTTGTGGGGATTCCCTGTCTTTTTTAAGGACCAAGGCATCAATCTGTCTAGAAGTCTGTGCGTCAAAAGAAAGATAACGTATACGTTTAACGCACATGTGGAATCATCTTTGACGCATGACGGATCCGCAAGTTCCATATATGTTGCGTATATGACGCGTAAATGGAATCTTAGCTTAAACTGAAAATTCAAATGATAATCATGAAAAGTTAACCTTCTTTTTTTCATAATAATTGTTTAAAGATAACTTTCCTGGTGTGAATGTTAAAATACTGTGTAATAACATAAATATATTGTATTTCATGGGTAAATGTTGAGAAATAATTGTTTCCTCTGCTTTTATATTTTTATCATGTCAAGAGCCCTCAAAATCATTTGTATCATACAATAAATTATACTTTAAACCGGAAACATAACAATTACATTTTTTTTTTATTCAAGATAAGATAGTAAAAAGGAGTGTACATCAAGAGAAATATTAAGTACAAGGTTGGAAAATAATTCATGTTTAATTTGTGAAGCATATAATATATATTGAAGGCTTGAAGAATAAAATATATATTCAAGCACACAATATATATTCAAGCATACAATATATATTCAAGCACACAATATATATTCAAGCACACACATATATATTCAAGCATACAATATATATTCAAGCATACAATATATATTCAAGCACATGATATATAAATTATGCTCATTCAGACAGGGTTATCAAGAGAGAAAAAAATGATGATTATACCATTTAGTAATATAGAATGATTTTAGATAATCCTGGAAGAAAATGCTGGTAAATGTTCCATCAAGTCTAAGGTCTGACAGAAAAATCCTGGATTTTATATCTATGACAAGGGTATGTTTTTAATTAAAGCCAATTTTGTCAAAAAAAATCCCAAAATTTGCTGTGAGTCTATAATCAAATAAAGTTTTTGAAGTGTTTTATTACCTTTTACACTAGTATAACCAATTCAATTGAAAGATCAACTTAGTCCAACTATGAAGTTTCTGGACTGATCTACCAGTGTATCAACTTACAATGCATACATTAAAGATCCCCAACTACAGTTCAATACTGCCAATCAATGATGGAAATTTCCACTGACCTAAAGATCAATTCATAGATCTACTGAAGCATAAATAAGCCACAGTGTTTGGCTTATATACAAAAATTGTTTTGACAACACTGTTAAATAATGACCATTAATCTCACAGGTAGAAATACCTTCACCTTCCCACTATAAATAACCAATAAAGACCAATACAATAGAAAGAATTCGGCAGACAAACCTGGCCTGTGTCCTTGAGGTAATCTTGTGGGTGTACAACAGCTTGTACAATTTAACATAATTATAACCCCACTTGTTTTAAAAAGGGTTTGCAACCATCAGCATCCATTAAAGAGGACATAAAAAAAGGAATAACAAACCATTTTTATCGAAGACATCTTAGTCTCCCCGTGGTTATGTCTACCAGGTGGTCCTTGGCCAAACCTCTTGAAATTTGTCTTTTTATCAGTTTTCAGTTGGGTTGGCTGATAGAGTGAACATCCTAAGACTAAGAGCTCAAGGTTAAAGAGGTTAAATTTCAACAAATATTGAATGTATTCCTCTAAAGAAAGTTCATTCCAACCCTCTGCACTAACTAAATTAAACTATCATAAAATTGGACTTGTAACATTTTACCACCCATGGTGGGAGATGTATTTTAATTCATTACTTAAAATTGACAGTCTTAAAAAATTACAATTACGTATTTTATACTACAATATTCCGGTATGATACATATATACGAAATTTCTGCCCTACAGTTTCACATCATATTATGTTATCATCTAAAAATCTCATCCAAAATCAACAGTAGATTGAATCCCCAATAAACTCATAACAGTCAGACATGCACGGTTTTAGAGCTTTACGCTATAAATATCCGGGGTAGTCTAAGCAGATTCAATGAAGCGTCTACCTTTCTGAAAATTAATGGGTTATTGGGAGGCCAATCCCAGTAGTTTTGAATCAACCTATTATTAATATGACTTTCAAAAGATACCAATTAACTTTTTAAAAATTGTTCATACAGTCAAATAATATTTAAAAATTTGCAAAACGCCTTAGCTGCGTATTGTTTTTTTTTTCACCACAGGCGAATATCAATTTATCGATTTCTGTGATTCAGCGACATGAATTCTGCTGAGCACGGAAATAACGTTCATGAACGACCTTCACCTTTACTTCACGTGCGCAAATTCATAAATTGCCATTAGAGTTAATGGATATCAACCAGCTAAACCAATATAAAACGGGATTATTTGGTCTAAGAATTGTATATACCGATAATGACCACTGTGTTGGGTCTAACTTTCAAATCTAAACCAAAAAACCCCCACTAATGGCAAGTTTCATTCATAAAACTGGAGAATATGAGGGGAAAATTCCATTCAATCCACGTACTATTCATGTAGCTAATGAGCGCGCGCCGAGGCATACACACAATATACAAGGAAATTGGCCAACTTGTATCGATAAAATGTACATATTTTGAGATATTTAAATTCAATTCAAATGTAGAATGTAAATACCACATTTAGGAATCATTCTTAACAATACTTAAATCCAATTTACACTATTTCTCATTTATAACTTTTATAAAATTCACGTTAAAAAGAAATTTCGCTTACCTTTCAAAAAATTCTTAAAGAAGATTTCTTTAATTTTCTTTAAAAGTTTACTGCTTTTTTAAAATTTTGATTTGGAAAGCCAGATGTTTTAAAAATAGACAACAGTGCTGTTACCAGCACGACCATTTATTGAAATGAATCGACACGGCATGCGAGGTGAATTTAGCGAACCTACACGGCTAGGACGATTCCATTTTTCTCGACCAATGGGGTTTTTCCTCTTGCCACAATAGACTGATATAAGTAATTATTATCAAATACAAAGGGGATTTTTAAAGAAAAGTTGATGTTTTTGGAAATATTTCGGCTTTATTATATTCGGATAACTTGTGTACATACTGTTCTATATCAGCTGGTAAATCAATATGAAAAAAACTTTATTCCATATTTGGCAAATGATTAGTTTTCGGATGAAAATTTGTTATTAGCATAGCTGGTTTAGAATTTTGGCTCTTTTAGGGGGCAGAAGGAAAATGGAGCCAATTCATTGACCTGGTGCTTTGAAACAGAGTAAAAGTTATTTTGACTGACAATGAACACTTTAAAGCAATCTAATCCTTAAGAATCGAACATCTCTTTAAAAACTTTTAATCTTATTATTACTCATGTCTTTCAATTTATTTCAAATAGAATTTTTCGATGCAGAAAATGATCTAATGTAAATCATATAAAAAAAATCAAAAAAAGATTATAAAAACGTTGTTCAAACCTTTATAAATCTATGCTATTATTAAAAAGTTTGTAATATACAAAATTAATTATATACTATAGAAAGAGAAAAAAGCTTACCCTATGTTAACATTGATTTTAAACATTAGGCTATGCATTCAAATCAAGGGAAACTTCATCGTGTCAAGCTCAAATAGTTGTCTGTAACATTCGGCATCCACGTGTGTTTGTATACTAAGATTTGAGCTCTCGTCGAATACAGAAAATTAGAATGTACCCTGCTCCCCTCCCCAACCACCCTTTTACCACATTTTCATTCTACTCTACTAGATAGCCTAATTTCTTTGAATATATTTTATTATATAAAACCCTACATAATAAGGCCTACCAGACAAAACCGTCATTCAACGTTTATTTTAAAACAATTAATAGCACAATTTTAGACTGTTCCAATACAATTATGAGACGCGTCCTAGCAAGCAGTAGTGTGTACTAAGGCAAATGATTCATTAATAAGCAAGCTTAGGGTCTAGGCGTCAGCTATTTACATAACACACGTAGAATCCATCAAACCATACTCAATAGCACCATTCCCATCACCGACAAAAGGCCTACCACATGCTTTTATTAACCGTTTAGGCTAGGCCTTCATCTAACTTAGGCTAAACATGTCTAAGCTAAGTCTACTTTGAAATGTGATCTGGACTTTTAGTTGTCATAAACACATTGTCCCGACACTGACGACAGCTTAAGTGCCTAAAGTAATGACCAATCCTGTATGACAAGGACAAAAAACGGATGGACAAGTCTAGGCATTTAAGCTATAGGCCCTACTAGTACTAAGGCAAAAGCCTTATGTAGTTTAGCTTCTTCAACAAAAAGGGTTAGGCCACAAGAAAATTTTCGATTGATTGGATTTTACGCCAGCAAATACATCTAATCAGAGCTCCGAGAGAAAAGCTTATTTAGGCCTATAGGCTATGGCTATGGCATGACTTTGTTAAGCCTATTGATAATTTTCAGTTAAGAAAATAAACACGTTCGTATTTTGTCAAACGAAATCAATAGACAACACAATTTGTATAGACCTAAAAGAGAGCCGTGTTTTCTTGTTCCGGGTTTCCTTTTTAATTAAAAAAGAAGCAATACAAAACGTATCGATACTTTGAGAGTCACATTTCAAAATGAACGAAGTAGAAAACTACCTCTTTGTGCAATCAAGAAAAGTCAAAGTCCAAGGGAGACAACCTGCATGCCTACAAT